GGGGTAAACTTGTAAACAGCTAAACCTTTTATGTAATTACGTTATAAGTCACAGACTACATTATACATGGAATATACTTTTGTATGTTTTAATTGTTTTTTTGCACTAAGGAGTAAGGTTTCAGAGATGACCGTTAACTTCTCAATTAAGTGAAATGCCCTGCAGATGTTTCAAATGTCCTTGACTCATGACCACAGGGTTTAATCGTGACTCGTCAACTTGTAGCTGTGTACATTCTTATCAAATAGGTAGTTGTATATTCAGCGTGTCTCCATGGATGTAAGTAAACTGACAGGGGTCCAGTCAATTCAAGGTAGATAGTAAGTGTGAACAAGGACATGCTTAATGGGTAGTGACCTGGTGAAGCTTGCACTGTCAGGCTGCCTACAGTTCAACAACAATAGCTCCCCATTATTGTGGTGTGGGTGTCCAGGTAAGCACACACCTGATGAACCGCCCACTACCCTACGTGAAGGGCTGACACAGGTTTACTTACCATTAACATTTCTGCAAAGCTCTGAAGCGGGAGAAAACCTCTTAGTTTATTTTTGGCTTAAAGCCTTGTGAAGAAAAATGCTGTCACTTTGACATTTTGCCTTAGTGCCATAGGTTATTGCAAATATATTTAAGTTCTGCAACTTTTTAGGTGAGTTCCCTATCAGGGCTGACAGGGTGTTGACGGCCATGATGGAGACTATATGTGGCCAAATTCAGGCATTGTGTAACTGGTTGTACTTCTGGTTGTGCTGTGGGTGTCGTGTGGTAGTTTGTGAGGGGTTAGATATTTGTATATCCTGTGTCAGCTATTTTCACAGCTATTCATTATGAAAAGACCCCCATGGGTATTCCTGGTTAGAATAGGTTTCCCAGCAACTTACGCTGGTCTCGGGGGAATCTAAGTGGATGGGGTGGATGGGGTGGATCGACTCTGGGACTTGGTTGATTGCATGGGACATTGCTCATTATATCAATCACTTGTTTGTGCAGTTCAGACTTGATTCCTTATAGTTGGTCGTCATATGGCTGGAATGTTGCTGAGTGTAATGTTTAACAAGAAGCAAACATCATAAGGGGGCTCAATGGGCTACAGTGATGTGCACAGTTGTGTGCTCAGTTTTACCAAGGTCTGAGGCCCGGGTTCGATTCCCCACATGGGTACAGTGTGTGAAGCCCATTTTCCGATGTCCCCTGCCATGTTATTGCTGAAACATTGCTTAAAGCAACATACAACCATAATACTCACTGATTTTCATGGGTTTGATGCACTGCCTTTTCCTCATGAAGTTGTGTCTGTCAGAAACATACATGTGCGCGTGGGGTTTCCCAAGTGGGAAACATCTACCACCTGTATCACCTTGGAATTTCCTCCCACATTAACTTTACACACTAACATGATGTTAGTATGTGTGTTGAGCCCAACACCTCCCTCCAGTAGTGCAGTTAGGGTCAGTGCTGACACTATGTTCTGGTTGTAAAGATGTGAAGAAAAACTTTAAGGTGAAACATGTTTTGATATCAATGGTACTTATATATGCATTTCGTCAGTGAATGATTTTATCTCTTTTTAAAAATATGGCACTGGATGGTACACTCCAGCAATCAATGTTGATGTTCGTAGCATGGCAGAATACATAGTAGTTGTGTCATTAATGAGTCCTTGTTTTGTTGGTGTGTAAATTACCGCCACATAGAGTGTTCAGACCTATACAGACATTTCCATTGTTGTTGTGCTGGGCAATAGATATACGACAGCGTACCAGGTGATGTGATATGAATAAAGATGAAATATGCTAGTAGATGAGCATGATGCAGCAATGTAGCATGTGTTAACAACCAATTCTTCGAAATTGGCTACAATGTGTTACATTTAGCAAGCATCCAGTGGTGTGAAGTAGTTCTATACTGTCTAGATATTAGGTTATTATTACAGCAATATTTGTTAATATGTGATACACAAGGAAAGCATCTAATGACTTATCTAAGCAGGGTGGAATATTGTTCTTTTCTGACTAGATATTAGATTATTATTCCTGCAATATTTGTTAATATGTGATACACTAGGAAAGCATTCAGTTACTAATCCAAGCAGGGTGTGATGTAGTTCTGTACGGACTAGATATTAGATTATTATTCCTGCAATATTGGTTAACATGTGATACACAAGGAAAGTATCCAGTTACTAATCAAAGCAGGGTGTGATGTAGTTCTGTACTGTCTTGACGTTACATTATGGCGATATTGGTTACAATACAGTACCTCATTAAGGTACCTATTGCTGGTAGAAGTAATTGTGGGATATGTTAGGTAGCTAGCACTTGATTGTTTCCCATTAACTACAAATAAACCAGGCACTGAGTGGAGGTGACTGCTGTCCCTGTTGATTATAAACTGGCGTGGGTTGGGAAGGAAGAGACAGTTGTTTGTAGATGTTACTTTTGATCATTGGCACTGAGTCAGATTGTGCTTATTTTAGGATTGGAAGATTTAGCAGTTTTTTTGTCAGATTTATACCAGCCTATTTGAGGAATAGCCTTGAAAGTGATTGCTGCAATTTTAGATAAAACTAAAAGGAAAGTGGATAGGATGTCGCTGCATTGATATTTTGTGGCAGAATTCCAGGTATCTGGAATATCTTCAGCTGTGTGCCCATTCTGCACTGGTGTAGAACTAGAAAGTCTAATCTATTGTCACTTCAGTTGAACATGATGTAGTGTTGTATTTAGTATTCATCCTGCTCATTCATCATTTACTGAAGTGGATTAAATATGTAAGGCATTGTCAAACAGAACCTGCTCGTAGGAGGAAATTAATCAAATGAAATTGAACCAGTTAATTACTTCATTTCATTTCACACAGAAGGTGAAATTAACAAAGATACTTGTGGAAAACTTAGATTCCAAATTCAGACCACATTTACTTTGCTTTATGGACCAGTTCCACTGACTATGAAATTTGTTAACATGGAGAAAATCTGAATTTGCCCCTATAAATACCGCCAATAAACTGCGCCCCAAAAAATATTTTCTAAATAAGGACCCACTGTTGATTATTTTGCACCAGTGTTCAATAAATCAACACGATTCTCATGTAGAAACATATTTTTTTATACCAGCCTATTTGCAGTGGATAAGAAAACTAAAAACATATCTGAAATGCGTTTTTCCTCTTTCCTTTTTTCACCAACCAACAGGTATTTTCCTTGTAAGAAAGCCATAAAGCAAGTTTGCAAGAACAAGTGTGGCCTTGGGTAGTTCTGTTTAAATAATGGTGTTTTTTGTTTGCAATACTGGTATAAAGTTCAACACATATTGCATACAACAAATAGGATTCACCATCAAGACCAGTGAGTGCCTGTCTGCAGTTGATGATGTTGTCATGACAGCCTTATGTGCTGTGACATGAGGATAATACCTGATAAGTATGTATCCACAGCCATTCTAGCTCCAACTTGTGTCATGGTCATGGTCTGTGATGAGGCAGTAGGAACTCCATCTGGGCTGAAATGATTTGATGCCCTGGAATCAAAGTAATCGTCTTGGTTTCCATCGCTTATTGTACAAATGGTATTATCAGGTATTGATTAGGCCTAACAGGATGATGTAGAATTCACATGTTGTTGAAACAGATTTCACCACCATGTGAACTTTAAGTAGTTGCTGAAACCACATTAAGCCCATTTAGGGCTGCCAGACGTTTGATGCGATCAATTGGTGAAAAATTGCTTGTTAACTGATTTCAATTTGAGTCAAGCTTTTGGGGATCAAGACTAAATTAAAAACACAACATTTTAGGTGTTGCATTGTTGGATTTGACCAGGAAGGAGTGAGTTCATTCACAAAGATTAACGAAAAACAGCATTTATAAGCTGGACAGGAAGGGTTTTGGTAGAAAGATATTTTATGAGATAGATTATGTTTAGAAATAGATTTGCATGTCAGAATGGTGTTAATCACTGGATTGTCTGGTCCAGAATTGATTATTTACAGACTGCTGTCATATATCTGGAATATTGCTCTGTACGGCGTTAATCAACAAACAAACAAAATGATTGTTTGCTTGGTGTACAAGGTGATATCCGAGGTTACTACTGAACAACATGTGACGCCTTCCTTCATAGTTCTTATAGACTAACATATAGTCTCTGAAATGAACATATCGTACAGAAAAAAACAGTTGTTCAGTTATCTTAATAAAAATCTAATAAAAAGGGAGCCCAGTGATTCTCTTCACTGCAGTAATCTAGACTTGCCAAACATTATAGACTTGCATGGGCTGTAGTTGATATAAATGTATCAGGGTCTGTAATACAGACTATAGTTCTTATTAAAACCTGTCAAACTGTGAAACAACTTTGTTATATTACTACCCATAAAAACTTGAATGTGTGACCATCATGGCATCGGAATATTTCATGTGACATTTTTAACTCATCATGATTGACTCTGATAGCACATTGAAATATCAGGTTTTCATGACCTGTCAGTTCCATAAATCCTGTTAGCCCCACTACTGGTCGACATGAAGCATATCAATGGTTGTAGATCAACACCAAAGGTATAGGTTTACATGCAGGATGTTCCAGTGATTTGTTTGGTTGAGCTTTACATACACAATGTTCTAGTGATTTATTTGTTGAGATGTACATTCGTGATCTTCTAGTGATGTATTTGGTTGGGAATTACATGCAGGATGTTCTAGTGATTTATTTGGTTGAGCATTATATTAATAAACATATTTGGTTGGGAATTACATTCATGATGTTCTTGTGATTTTTTTGGTTGAGCATAACAGGCACGATGTTCTAGTGATGTATTTGCTTGAGCATTACATGCACGATGTTCAAGTACTTTATAAGGTTGATGATCCCATTCCAAGATTTGACCAACAGAGCCCCAGACAATCTTGGGACTCAGTTCATAAATTAGCTGTTATAAGATGATGTTTCCCTGTTGGATTGTTGATGGGTGGCTGTACAACTTATTTCACACTTTATTTTGCAGGTGTCAATCCCATGGTGCTCTGTTTTCGTGTGAAGTTTTACCCAGAAGATCCCATGAAACTTCATGAAGAGATTACACGGTAAGTTGCAGTCAGACTTGATATTGGGTGGAGACCCACCTTGGGATGACTACTGGGGCTATTTTCACTATTGCCAATAGAATTGCAATACTTTTGCAATAGTACCCCCACTTTAGCAGTTGTATTGAGATAGTTAGTATTAAACCAACTTTAAGTCTTGATAATTATATTAATAAATGTAATAGAAATCTGTAAAGTATTGCCGACAATGTCATGGTTTGCAAATTTCCTCCCAGTGACTGCTCAAACCAAAGGGAAGTAACTCTTAACCTGAAGTTGTAATTCTTGCTAATCAACACGTCAGGTTTGAAATTTGACCATATAAAAAGTTTTCTCATACATAATTTATGTTTTATTTATGTCTAATTGTGTCTATTGAAATTATCTATTGTTGCATACTATCGGCAGTACCATCAGTGCTTTTATGTTCCCATCCTTATAGTACAATCGTTGGGCAACTGCAGTACATGAATACACCTATGAACACTCACATCCACCCCTCTGTTTCCTTGCACTTGTTGTATATGCGTGAAGAAACAATAACTAGCCAGGTTCTACTTGTCACTGACAAGTCGAGTTTGATTCCCAACATGGGTACATGGCCATCATTATTAAAGGTCAAGTTTGATTGTTTTAAGTGAGCTTGATAATTTAGCCTTGATCATGTGGATCATTGTTAGTGCAACTGGTTTGTTTGGTCCTGACTTGATTATTATCCCCCGCCGCGCGAAAGCGCGAAGCGGGGGATATAGTATTCACGACCGTCCGTACGTACGTCCGTACGTCCGTACGTCCGTCCGTACGTCCCACCTGTTTGTTGCCGCGATATCTCAAGAACTAAACACTGGATTGTCTTCATATTTGGAACTATAGTGTATATACAGACTCCGCAGACACCAGTCGGTTTTGGTGACCTTGATCCCATTTTCAAGGTCACAGCAGACAAATCTGCTTTTGGAGTTGGAAAACGGTGTTGCCGCGATATCTCAAGAACTAAACACTGGATTGTCTTCATATTTGGAACTATGGTGTATATACAGACACCGCAGACACCAGTCGGTTTTGGTGACCTTGATCCCATTTTCAAGGTCACAGCAGACAAATCTGCTTTTAGAGTTGGAAAACGGTGTTGCCGCGATATCTCAAGAACTAAACACTGGATTGTCTTCATATTTGGAACTATGGTGTATATACAGACTCCGCAGACACCAGTCGGTTTTGGTGACCTTGATCCCATTTTCAAGGTCACAGCAGACAAATCTGCTTTTGGAGTTGGAAAACGGTGTTGCCGCGATATCTCAAGAACTAAACACTGGATTGTCTTCATATTTGGAACTATGGTGTATATACAGACACCGCAGACACCAGTCGGTTTTGGTGACCTTGACCCTATTGTCAAGGTCACAGCAGGCAAATCTGCTTTTGGAGTTAGAAAACGGTGTTGCCGCGATATCTCAAGAACTAATCGCTGGATTGTCTTCATATTTGGAACTATGGTGTATATACAGACACCGCATACACCTGTCAGATTTGGTGACCTTGATCCCATTTTCAAGGTCACAGCAGGCAAATCTGTTTTTGGAGTTGGAAAACGGTGTTGCCACAATATCTCAAGAACTAATCGCTGGATTGTCTTCATATTTGGTACTATGGTGTACAGGCGGGGGATATTTCGTCACTCTGTGACAAATACTTGTTTTAATACAAGCCACTGTGATGTCGCTTGTAACCTGCAGACCACCATCTTCAGTTCAGGAGGATTATGATCAATAAAATACAATTTATGATTACTCCCTTCCTCATCTCAGTCTAGGATTAGTGGAGCGGTGAGCACAGTCAGAGAATTAACACTACAAAGCAAAATCAATTTGTCGACATGTGTAATGTCATAATTCAGTGTGGGAGAAGTGGCTGATGACATTTCGAGCAATATGTGCAACTGAGAGACACATTTCATATTCTCCTTTGAAGGTTTTGTTAAATGCCATGTGGATGCTGGTACTAGGGCTGGGACGAGTTTCAATTTACTACCCAGGTGCCCAAGCCCCTGTTACCCAGGCATCTGCTGTAGGTCTCAAGAGTAGAGTACAAAATGTCAGATAGGACATTTAATAAGAGTCATCATTACACAGGTTATTATGTTTCTAGTAAAACACTTAGATCAAATTATAGAAAATATATATCCATGTTAACAGAACTAACATCTGTGAGTGAGTGGGGGCGGTCAGGTAGCCTAGTGGTTAAAGCGTTTGCTCACCTCGCTGAAGACCTAGGTTCAATTCCCAACATGGATATAATGTGTGAAGCCCATTTCTGGTGTCCCCCGCCATGATATTGCTGGAATATTGCTAAAAGAGGCGTAAAATCAAATGCACACACTCACAACTGTGAGTGAGTGAATGTTGTTTCATTCCACTGTCCCAATAATCACAGCTATGTCATGGTGCTGAGGAGCAGTACTGCATCCCTTAAGTGTACCAGTGAAGATCGCAGGTTTGAACCCCGGTTCACCCTGATTATGTGTCAGGTTTGTCAGCACCATTCCCCGGCTCATGGGTTTCACTGAAGCAGTGAGTGTCTAAGACCTGCATCACTTTCTGCATCACTGACACACCTTGATAGAACTGAAATACTGTTGAAGGCTGGATTAAACCGAAGTCACTGGCTCCAGCCAAAGGTTGAGTTGGGTCGAGGTGATCGTGGGGTACTCACGCTGCCAGTACTCAAAGGTGAAGACATAAAGCAAGCATAAAGAAGGGAGTACCAGCCCATAAACAGGCCAGGGACAAAAATACACCTCAGGTCGATGAGCAGCCCAGCTCCCAGGGCTCTTCACATCTCCTTCAATAGTAGGGAAGTGGGAGGTTATGACTTATTTGACCTGACACAGGGTAGAAAAACAGTGTTGTGTGATTGGTGTCAATAATTCCTTCGTTATGTTTCCTGAGTGAGCATCTTTTACAGTTAGTACGCTGCTTCATTAGCTGATATATTAATTAAAAGGTAGAGTAGTAGTTGATGGAAACAATAGTGGTTTATTAATTGTCTTCAATGTTTTTGTGTGGAAAATGTTTACACAAGCGTTGTCTTATTCATGTAAAGTTATTCTATTGCTGGCAATTCACCTTGTCTGTGTACCGTTATTTGTTTGTTTATTGTGGGATTTATGCTTCTTTTTTTTAGACTTCACATACTTCAGCAGCTAGGGTGCTTATTTAGTTGAATATGGTAGTAGAATGAACTGTAATCCTGAAATTCCATTGTTTTTGTGAACCATTATTGCTACATTATGGGTTAAAGGCTTCAAAACCTTTTCCTCTGAATCACTGTCTCATTTATCTCCCAGCTAGGAAGCATGTTCATATAGCAGGCAGTTGTTGTATCTGAATCAGAAGAATTACTAATATATCTGAATTATTAAACTATGTCTAAAGCAGATGTTAACAAAATATAAATAGACCCTCATTGTGGCACCATGGTCATTTTAAGAGAAAACTGATAATTCTGTTCGATTAGGTTCTAAATTTGGCGCCATGTCTAGACATGACGAGTGCCACGACAGATTGGGTTTAAATGTGATATTGGCAAGCTTTACAACATGCCTGTAATGGCCTGACATTTCTGTAAAGAGACGTATGCCCCTTTCTTGCCTAAGTCACTCTCACAGAGGAGTAACGCCCCTTGGCATCCGATTGTTGAGCAGTCTTCTTCTGGATAGCTTCAACATTCATTCTTGCAACAAATACTGAACTACATTAGTTATAAGGGTAACTTTGCTTATGTAGGTTTGTATATCAATGTACTGCTTACCTCAAGATTTATGCGTATTGATTAGCCATTTTGACATTTTTATTAAAATGTTATGTGTTGCATTTAAATTGATGTCCATTCTCAAAGATGCTGATAAAATTTGAATTTGCCCTGGAAGCCGATGGTGCTGGGGTTTGATGTTCCAGGCCTTTGATGCCCAAGATATGTCTATTAAGTAGTGTTGTGTCCGTGTCATTTCAACAAATTGCAATTCAGTCATGTCATGCAGGTGATTTATGTTTTGAAAAGTCAATACGATGCTTCGTGTACTCTGATACTGCTTTTAAAGTTTCCTTAGAATGTTTTAATGATGCTAGGCAAAGAAAATATGTTATCAACCATTATTTGATTTTAGTTCTTCAGTTATCTGTGCAATCCTGAACAACCACTATTGCATCAGTCATTGTATGTTTACTGCTGATTCAATTAGAAGGATAATGGTGTATGGTGTCCGTTCAGTAGTGTTCTCCTTGTGTTTCAGCTACTACCTGTATCTGCAGTTGCGGCGAGATCTCCATCATGGCCGTCTGTTGTGCTCCCCACAAGATGCTGTTCACCTCGCGTCATACATTGTCCAGTGTAAGTGATTTCAACTACAGTAAACTACGCTTATAACGAACACACTTATAATGAACTGGTGGATATAACGATCTTTGGTTTTCCCGGGCATTTGATGTATATATTTTTGAAACGAACTAAGGTTATAACAAACTACAATTAGAGGTCCCTTTGAGTTTACTGTATATCTATTTCAAAAGAAAATTGGGGAACTGGCAAGTCCTATTTAAACACTTCTCTATAAAATGACATTTAACAATTAATGAAAGTAATCTGTACATAAAATAATATTAAAGTGTCCAATGTAAGTGATTTGCCAATGGCAGTGGTTCCACACACCATATGACCCGTGAAGATTCCAGGGTAGAATAGGTCTTCAGCAACCCATGCTTGCCGTAAAAGGTGACTCTGCTTGTCGTAAAAGGTGACTAACGGAACCGGGTGGTCAGGCTCGCTGACTTGGTTGATACATGTCATCGATCCCAATTGCGTGGATCGATGCTCATGATATTAATCACTGGATTGTCTGGTCCAGACTCGATTATTTACAGACCGCTGTCATATAGCTGTAATATTGCTGAGTGAGATGTCAAAAAAAAAACACACATCATGTTTGATCACACAGAGTGATTCAGTAACAAGTAAACCAACCAACCAACCAATCCACACACCATGCCCTTTTCTAGGATATTAGATACATTTGTTGACTCATATTATGCCTTTTCACAAGTTTGAAGTTTGTAGTTTCATCATAACATCTGACATTCTAACATAGGACAAACTGTAGTCAACACAATTTCACATGTGGCATGGACAAAGTACTTTGTCAATGAGTCTGCTATTTGATATGCAGTGTCCCCTTTTATATGCTGCTTGAAAGAAAATCCATGTCATGACAGATTAACCACATGAAATATAGGGTGTTCTTTATCGTCTTTTGAGAAGTATATTTCCTATAGTCTGGTTGGTGACAAGAGACATGTATGCACTTCTTCATCCCCCGCTGCAGCTTCTGTTCTTTATCTCCAGCTGAGGTTGGCGACTACGATCCACAGGACCATCCACCGGGCTACATCACTGCCTTCAAGATGCTACCCAAACAGAACTCCAAGATGGAAGATCAGATTCAGGAGTTGCACAAGACGCTCAAGTGAGTTTGTTGTGAATGGGGAATTTCTGCAAAGACCATGTTTGGAGGGTATAAGAAGGGTTACTTTGAGAGTGGGTTGACAGCGGGTGAGATAACTCTGAATGTTGTATGGGAAGGGCTATAACTTCAAGTGGGTTGACAGGTGGGGAGATAACTCTGAATGTTGTTGGGGAAGGGGGGTATCTTCGAGTGGGTTGACAGGTGGGGAGATAACTCTGAATGTTGTTGGGGAAGGGCTATAACTTCAAGTGGGTTGACAGGTGGGGAGATAACTCTGAATGTTGTTGGGGAAGGGCTATAACTTCAAGTGGGTTGACAGGTGGGGAGATAACTCTGAATGTTGTTGGGGAAGGGCTATAACTTCAAGTGGGTTGACAGGTGGGGAGATAACTCTGAATGTTGTTGGGGAAGGGGGGTATCTTCGAGTGGGTTGACAGGCAGGTATGCAAGAAAGCAGAGCATAAGAGTTGACTAGTATAAAGTATATAGGGAAGGCTACCAGTAGAGGTATATTGTTATGGTGTTCTCTGTGTTTGGGGGGGGGGCAGATATTGTTTTAGGGGCTGTAATAACGTTTTTGTATTCTCTCTGTATTTTAGAGCTTTTGATAGTAGTGAATTCTCTGCATGGGTTTTAGGGGCCAAGTACCAGCTGAAGCTGAGAGTAATTTCCTGAAGAAAGCATCGGTGCTGGATACCTTTGGTGTCGATCCACATCAGGTCAAGGTGAGTAGATAATCTGTACACCTCCCTTGGTGTTTTCTGGATACCCTCAGTGTCAATCAAACTACGCTTGTGTTAATTATTTTTAGAATGATTATAGAATGTGTATATTCATTCTTCTACTTTTTTCTTTTGTCAGTTTGTTAATTGATGTGAAGTGAAACATTTTGCCTACTGTGTACATTGTGTTGCAGGATCAGCGAGGAGATCAGCTATATCTGGGCGTGACTCATCAGGGCATCATGACCTTTCGCGGCAGCCGACGAACGCAGCTACATAAATGGTAGGTCTTATGGTAGAAACTCTAATGAACAATGATACAAATTAACGACCAACACAGGGAAGAGATTTGAAATGATATCCATAAATAATCTGCTTCAAAAAAATCTTTTTGCTTTAGCTGAAACACTTATGTTGTGGCTTTATCATTTTATCCAATAGCCATATTTTTTTAAGGGAGAACACTATATAAATTTTTGAACAGACATCTTAGTTCAGTTGCGAAATACTTAATGCCACTAAGAAAATCTAAATAATAATATTATTTTGATAGCTCAACAGAATACTGAAAACGTAGTAGTGAGAAATGATTTTTATTCTGCTATATGTTGTGTAAAGAATTAACAAAATGATCTGCCAAGCAGTCCATGTGCCCATCAAACGTGTTGAAGCTTCAGATAGAATAAGATTCAGTTCTTGTTGGTTTCACCCATGTGACGATGCTTTGTTAGCATTGCTCCCCTGTAACCTATGCTGGTTGTAAGAGGAAACGTAATGGATCAGGTAGGTCAGGCTCGGTGAATGGTTGGTTGCATGTCATTGTACCATGACTCTGTGGGTCATTGCTCATCACTTCAATCACTGGTTTGTCTTGTCCAGACTCGATTATTTACATACTTCCATCATATACCAAAAATATTGCTGAGTGTGGCGTCAGTCAACGCACTAAATGAACAAATATCTTATAGGCTTCTAATAGATTAAATGTTTGAATGAATCATAATTTTTTATGATAGATTTTGTTCTAATAGTAAGGAATGTCGATTTGTTTGTTCCAGGAACCAGATCAGAAGAATTGCCTATGAAGCGAAGATGTTTATAGTCCATGTGAATGTTGCAGAGGTGAGATACTACTGACATTTGATTTGCTAACGTATACTTCGACTTGTGTAGGCACTTATCATACTTTGAAGTCTTTCATCGTCTGTATCACATCACACTGTACAGGAAGTGGTGGTGATGGAGTTGTGGCGATGGTAGTTCAGGGTTGCCAAACAAATTAGTCCTTGCCTTACTTGTAGCATTCCTGTTACATTAAAGCTTTAACGGCTTCTTGTTTTCAATTCTATTTACTCTGCATACTGTGAAACAAGTCTATTACATTGTTCGATTTCTTATACACATTGCCACAGACGTATCATGACACTGCCCTCAGTAAGATAAGGTAATGAAGATAAGCTGTCACAATTATATATTTTCCTGAAGTTCTTGAATGGGAATACTGTTTATATCAAATTTTGAACAGTGTAGCTGCTTGAATGCTTTAGCGAAATATTGTTCAGGAATACAGCTACGGAATTTGGTTTGTAATCTTGAATTATCATAGAAGCTGTTGGTAGCTAATGAAGAATAACTGTTGCCACTCTCTCCCGGCCACTTGGTGTACACTGTGTCAAATGCATGGGGATCAAACTAGTGTGCTGATCAGTTCTACGTACAGCAACTTTTACACAAGAACCTTCCTCGAGTTTATGTGCAGCATATAGACAACTGGCATGAAAATTCAGATTTCCGTTTCTTTTGTGTTTTTATTTCAATTGACAGGTTTGTGTACATTGTTTCTACAGAATAGATGTTCAGTTAATGCACAGTTTAAAACTTTGAATGCCTTTTACATTTGTCTTGACCAATCACAGTTGAGCTGTCATAGTCCTTGCAAATCTTCATGAGACCTGGTTCATGGTGCCTGGGATCTTGTTCTTGGTGCATGTTCATGCGTCCTATTTCATAGTGTGTAGTTCATGAATGGCGTATTCTTGGCTCATGAGTCCTAGTTCATGGTGCATGATTCATGAATCATGTTCTTGGTTCATGATTCCTTGTTCATGGTGCATGATTCATGAATCATGTTCTTGGTTCATGATTCCTTGTTCATGGTGCATGATTCATGAATCATGTTCTTGGTTCATGGTTCATGGTGCATGATTCATGAATCCTGTTCTTGGTTCATGATTCCTTGTTCATGGTGCGTGATTCATGAATCATGTTCTTGGCTCATGATTCCTTGTTCATGGTGCGTGATTCATGAATCCTGTTCTTGGTTCATGATTCCTTGTTCATGGTGCGTGATTCATGAATCCTGTTCTTGGCTCATGATTCCTTGTTCATGGTGCGTGATTCATGAATCCTGTTCTTGGCTCATGATTCCTTGTTCATGGTGCATGATTCATGAATCATGTTCTTGGTTCATGATTCCTTGTTCATGGTGCGTGATTCATGAATCCTGTTCTTGGCTCATGAGTCCTAGGTCATGATGCGTGATTCATGAATCCTGTTCAGGGTCCTGGTGCATGTGTCATATCTTGCTGCTCTGTGCACACATTCACTTCCACACACTATTGCAGGAGGAAGATGCTGCGAACGCAAAGAAGGTAAGTCTTGATGTCCTCCTTCCTCCTCTCCGATCCTCGAACTAGAGAGAGAAACTTAGAATACTGTGTTCTAGAGGAACAGTAATATTTCTGTTTGTGCCTGATTAAAGTATTATTTTTACCAAAAAGAATTGGGTAAATTCTAATAACGTTATGAAAACAAAAACTTCTTTTTTCTTTTTCTTTTTTTATGAGCACCTTTCCACCACAATTATGTCCTTTGGCCTTGTCCAGTGTGTCAAAGAACTTGTAATTGCAAATTATTCAGGCTACATCAGAAATATTTTGATATTGTAGAAGTAAATAATTTCTAAATGGAAGCATGTAGATAAATGGTCGTAGAATAGCTTCTTTATTGTGAAGTAGATGTAACTTAGATTAGATGTAATGGAAAACAGTGTCAATATTTTTCATTCTGTTTAAGATTTTGTTAAGTGTTTCTGTACATAGTATTTCTTAAGTCTGGTATAAAGTGAAGGATTTGATGAATTTGTTTGCCTGCTTTTGAAGGAATGTCAATTTGAAACTTTTTGATTAATTTCATGTCTCATGTTCATTTGTTTGTCGTTTCATAATCAAGAAGATTCATCATATCATATCATTCAAACAAAAGAAATTGCTGCAAAAAATTTTAATCAGTACTAAAAGAACTGTATATATTTTCCTCAAAACAAACTATTTACTGTTTTCTTCAATGTGTCATTTATTGGAATATGTTAGTTTTTGTAAAATTGGTGATGCAAGCAATAACCCAATAATTTTGAAAGCCTGTTGCTATGGAAACAGTTTGTCTTGAATGTATGACGTATAAGTTACGACAAAATTTGGGCAACTGTCATGTAGGTTTCGGATGAGGCGGCAGAAGGGGGAAAGGAGAAAGAGAAGGATAAAGGAAACGAAACGGGGAAAGAACAGGAAAAAGAGAAAGAACAGGGGAAAGAACAGGCAAAAGAAACTGAAACTGGGAAAGAACAGGAAACGGGAAAAGAGCAGGGGAAAGAATCAGAAACGGGAAAAGAGCAGGGGAAAGAACCTGAAGCGGGGAAAGAAACTGAAACTAATAAAGAAACTGATAAGGAAAATCAGAGCGAGAAAGAAAAAACTGAGGAAAATAAGTTTGAGGTATTTTCGTCACTCATTACCCTGCAAACATTTGGAAAAAAACATTTCCCATAAGAGAATCAGCATGACAAAAACCTGTTTTTTCCCTTGTTGATTTGCTTAATTGACAAGAGTGGAATTACACTATAACATGTTGTTGCAATGTACTGTTGTTCCTCTTTTATTTACTAAGCGTATCTCAAAAATGTTTGATATTAATTAATTATTTTTGTTCAGTTTTTTAGCATTAACCCCGTTCCATCAGTATGCGTTTAATGATATTTATAATTTATTTTGATTATGATTAAATAATGCATCTTAATTCTGCCTTTTTGTTTAACTGTGTTTGAAGTGTTTGCAAAACAAACGTATATTCAGGTTATCTAAGTTGAAGGCATGTTAAAATTATCAAACAGTTTAACTGATGGTTAGGTCCATCAGGTGTCCGTTCCACGAATCAATCGTACTGCTAAGGTGGTCGAAACTCCCATACTTAACATAGACTTACGACTGCCGTTGCGCTATGATCGCTCTGTGGAACAGGGCCCTGGATAAAATAGATATCTAAGATGGTTTACAGCAGAAAAAAAACAATATGAAAGGGGATACTTATTTCATCTTCAGAACACACCGAACGCATCAACAAATTTCTCTAGGATGGGTGGAAATGTTTGTTGAAGCCTTGGAATATGCCATGCTTTAGGATTTATATCAGTATTTGAAAGATAACATTTCTTTACAGAAAGCAAATGTCACTCTTATTGCAAGCAGAACTTAGGCTTCGCAGTGTTACCATGGCAACTAACTATAATTTGGAATTGTTAAAGGGATAAGTCTAACAAGATCTGCTGGTTTTCTACCCATGGTTTTTCTTTTTGTTATAAGATGAGCAACTAACAGAATCATTTTACCAATATTTCTTCTAGGCAAAATACTTGTGCACTGGCGCTGTGGATGTAATTAATTGAATAATCACCACTAGTTAATATCCTGGTCGTTGTTCCAAACTATTATTTGTTACTATGTGCTTTAATGGGTGCTCTTCTGTTTTGTTCCCTCTTTTGCGAATGCAACCTTTAGAGGAAGAAGGACAAGGTGATAAATACAAATTCAGGTTTTGGGGCTAATGTACTTCTGCAGTTAATTGCTGCTTCAGCTGAGAGGATATCTAACATATGCTTTCACCTATTTATCACTAATTCTAAGCTTCTTTTTAGAAGTTGTAGTAACAATCAAAGCTTTCACCAAATCCACTTTTAGTACTTTGGTTTGTGTATACACATTAAAACCTGCCACAACATCCTTGTGACCTGCTTTGACTATAGGAAATTTGGTATTCAGTAAATATAACTTTCCTGACAAATCAAATAGTATTTCACTGGTACTAGATTCAAATATATATCATGTTTGACCTGAACTGTTTCATCAGCATGTCTGGTTTTGGTGTCTTTGGAAATTTGGTATTGTAGAAAATACTACATTCCTAACCTACAAATAGTATGTTCCTGATGATGAATTTAAATATATGAGTCATGTTTCACTTGAGCTTGGTTTAATCACCATTCCTATTTTTTGTGTTATTCTAAATTGGTATTTGGTATATACTACTTTCCATAACATCACATAGTGTTTCCCTGACCACTAGCTTCATATATATCAATCATGGATAGACCTGAGCTGGGCTTGATAATCATATACCTAGTTTTTGTGGGCAGGCTTCATGTAGAAACCAGATCTATGACGGGTGATGAGCTTTAGTTCCTCCTCCAACAAGTTAGCATGATAGATGTGATGCATGTTGTTGTGTTGGTGGTTACAGTCCGTGTATATTGTAGCATGTCAACACATTGTGCTATGATTTAATCAGCATGATTCCTAATACAGGCACTAAACTGATGGCTATGTATGTTACTAGATGTGCAAATTAAACAGTCAGATATGGTCGAGTCATTTTACAAGTTTATGTTCAAAGCTTTCTGGCAGGTTATCAATTTCTTTGTTATTTGTGTATTCATTCAAATAAATGCCTGTTGATGTGTCTGACAAGTAGACATGTTGAGAGTTGTCTCCCCTGTTTTGGCCAGTCTCCTCACACACACCTGTGAGTAGTTCTCATTGAGCTGTTGTAGAGTTCAACACCCTCATCTATTAGCATCATATATCAATAGACAACACATGCTGATGTTCTGACATTGTTTTTGCAGAAAAGAAAACGAATAAAGGTATTTCTGTTGATGCTGCGCTAGTAATGTAATAAGAAAAATGTTCAAATGTATTTACCTGCATGCTTATTTGAATGAATACAGCAATACAAAAGTTTTTCTCAACAATGTGAGGTTGGTCAGACTCTGATTAAAATTGCTGAATATTCTGGTATTGATTGAAAAATAATGAATGAATTAAAAAAAGATAAACATGAATGTTAAGATCTCGACCATATCGTATGAAAACACATTGATATTATGTAAAATATTTTACAAAAATGATGATTGAATATTTTTCACTTTGCTGACATGAAGTATTTTATGCAGTGATCAGTGTTTCCCTTTGACTTAAATAAGATCTGGCTGATAAATATTGAATGTCTGTAATCTTAAACAAAGGACTTTAGTTAGGAAAGTATCATTAATGTTGATGAAGATGATGACTAACAATGTAGGTAAGTCGATGCTCACAGTACTTGACAGTGATGTAGTTGCACATAGGACGAACACATTCAATACCAGCATAGCTTCACTTGTTGCAGCTGTATATGTGAGACATTGAACATAGCCACAGTCAGGACACCATAATGGATAGTTTTGATTGCAGGAATTATTTTTTTCTTTTTAAACTATGTGAACACAAGTGGGCTTAAAACAGTATGGTTCTCTAGATTTTTTTAATCATCATTTCTGATACGATTGTGCTGGCACGTAAAGTAAGCTGTACACAAATGTTTGATCTATAGAGAACCTGTTTCGAGTTTTAGTCTTTGTGTCACAAACTAGATAAATGTGGCAGTTATGTCTGGCTAGATTTGTGTAATGCAATGCTACACCTTCCGCCTAGAAGCAGCAGCCCCATGGATACAAGTGTCTGACTGTCGGAGCGTGCAAGTACCTGTGGAGATGTGCTGTCGAGCAACAACTCTTCTTTACGTATGTATAGTCTGCCCACATTAACAAATTGAGACTGATAGCACCGAATTAATGTTCAAAACAACATTAATCCCCACTCAGTTGTGACTAACATATGCATATCGTCAAAGGTTCAAATGAAACTAACCGCCGGTGTAGTGGATAGAGCATCTGCCTAGAGAACGGGTTAGTGGTTCAATCACCTCGACCTGTCATACCGAAAGACATTAGATGATGGTACTTGTTGTTACCCTGCCTGTTACTAGGCATTAAGTGAATAAAAAAAAAGTGGCCAGCTTGGAATATACTGTGTTTGAGTGGGGTATCCATGTTAAGCTGGGGCATGGTATCTCAGTGGGCTAGCACTCTAAAACTGGCATTAGTCCGGACTGGTACAAGCAGCCACACACAAGAGCATGGACGTCGCTATTTGAGTGAAATAATATTTCAACCCCATTTCACCTCACCTCAATTTTTATGAAGTTGGAGCTTCTACATGAAACTATTTTGTCAATAAGGCAATCTTGCTCCATTGTCAAACCTGTATACATAACTTGTAGTATTGACAAGACTGGATGAGTTTGATTTGTGTCTGTTATTGTGTACCAGGTTGGCATCTTCATGCAATGCACCCAAGTTGAAGTCAGGTGGAACGCTGTTCAGCAGAGGATCCAAGTTCCGTTTCAGGTATTTGGCATGAATAATGTACTAGATATAACAGCCTGAAATCATACTGTTCATTTTTTTCAGCTTGCCAAGATTTCAGAAATAAATTATTTATAATGTTTCAACATCAGTTAAAAGAAAAGAATGGTTTTAGATACTATGAGCATGTGCTGTAGAGAGTAACCTACTGTTGATAGCTTGTGCAAGACAGTGTAATAACGGTGTCAAGTGTAGACTAGAATTTGTGTTTATCTCAATGGTCAGTTTCAGTTTGTACCTGATATAGGATATTATATTAAAGGGCATATTAAAGATATTTTCTATGATTCATATTCTCAAAGATATCAACCGTAAGGCTGAAATCCCATGGTTAGGATTGGTCCCCAGTATACCAAGCTGTTCCTAAGAGGCTGGGGCAGTGGGTAACCTCGTGTTGACAGCGTTTGCTGTCACCCTCAAGACCCGGGTTGAATTTCCCACATCAAAACAATGTGTGAAGCACATTTCTGGTGTCCCAACTGTGAAATTGCTAGAATATTGCAAAGAGCAGTGTAAATCCATACTCACTCACTCACACACTCCTAACAGGCTGGATCAGGCTTAACTGTCATTGTTCCCTGATGGCGTGGATTGTTGTTCATAATATCAATCACTGAATTGTCTGGTCCAGGTTATATTATTGTTATAAAGGCTAAGAAAGTTAATTTTTTTAAACCACTTAGTTATTGAAAACATTAATCAAATTCCCCTGCTTTAATAAAGTTAGCCTAAAAGATATTGCAATCAATTATATATTTTTCATCCGAACATTTTCAATTAAGACATGACATTAACTGTTAGTGGCCAGTTATATTTTGTTACAAAGTGGGTCATCCTTGTAGAAGATATGTTTGAGAATATGAAAGAAGTAAAGAAACAATGAATTATGTGATAACATGACTGTTTAGTTTTAACAGGTAGAAATTATCATCAACTTCTATGTAATGTCATATAGTCAATTGTTTGTCATAAACTGTATTTGTTTCATGGACAGTGGTTCAAGGGGAGGTAATTCTTGATATTTACATAGTTACTTCCCCTGAATTATAAGTTTTTGTTGTCCTACAAATACATGAAACATCTTTTTAAGTTTAAATGTATCTTCTTTTCTTCATCCTATATGTTTAATTGTGACATATCGAGGAAGTTGGTGATTTTGTGTCATTCCTAACAACTGTGCTTGACTCTACAGTGGACGCTGTCAGATCGAGGCTCTTTCAGCCAGTGAAAACATAAAGAGGTCAGAGCCCAAATTTCCAAGGCTAGTAGTCCTGCTTTCTCATGCTTATAGTCAAAATACCCAGGGTTGAAATCTGAGGCAAAGAAAGGAATTCACAAATACATATTAAGAAATTTAATTGCAAAAAGATTAGGGAGCAGGGAGCTCCCTAATACATTGTTCTTCTTTCTCTCTTTGGCGCACATCCAACTGATGTATGCAAACATGCCATTTTTCTATAACTGAATATACACAACGAATTTATAAAACAGGAGATATAAATAAGAAAATTAGAAATTCAATTGTACAAACACCAACCCTGGGTGTTTCCAAGTAAACTCAAGAATCAAACCCAATCGAAGCTGCATGTCTTAACTCTAACATGTAAATGTAAGTATAAAAGTTGAGTGTCTACATCCTGTTACCTGGCTGCGCTGTGTAGATAGTGTCAATTGACCAACCAGAGTGATTGAAAGACTGCATGGCATGTTTTTGCCTGACCAATCAAATTGTCTGTAACAGACATGATTAGAGCATGAACCAATTCATCAATTCTAACATTTTGCTCTCATCTAAAAGTTTGATTTTGTTTGATATTGAAGTTTTTTGTGTTTAACCAGAAAAAGCTAGTATTGATAGATGTCTCTAACAAGGTTTGTCTGATACATAGTTTTTAATACTATTTGTAACACCCACTGATACTGTTTCGGTATGTAACATTCGTATGTAACACTTAGGTATATGTCAACTTTCCTGTTTGCAGCTTTTTGTCTTGTTTTCTTTGCCTTTTCTAATTTGTATTTTTTTGGTTAGTTCTTCTATTGTAAGTTACTTACATATCACATGGCAATTAAATAATCCGTTAGATAAAGCAGTATAATTAACAAATACTGCCTTCATATTAACTGGTGTGATCAGCCCAGTAGGGTGAAATGTAACATAGAGTTAACTTTTTTTCTTTTCCTTCATCAACTCTTTTCATCAACTTTTTTTCTTCAGTTGAAGTTTTCATCTGTTTTGAGTGGAGTATTACTCTTGACACAACTTTCAAAGTTATCAGCATTTTGGTAACATTTAAAAGTTCTTATAGATGTTTCTGGCTTAAAAGAAAAGTAATTTGGTTTTGTATAGTATCTTAAGTCTGAAATACGGATGTTATTGTGAGTTGCATGATTGGAAATTTCTTTTGAAACCTAACAGGAAAACAAAAATGTTTCCTTAAGTAAGAAGAGTATCTCTTCCAAAAAATTGATAGACCTTAATATTGTATACCTTATACTAATATATACACGCGATGTATCCAACATACCTAATGATCTTCATTATGTCTGAATGACTATACCACTGTAACGTAACATCGTATCAATTCATCGTCCTACATTACATCAGCTGTATCATCATACTGACAGTACTAAGCCATCAGAAGCATGACGTGAATCACAGCATGACATCATTCTCATTGTGTACACAGTCAAGTGGAATGTGGGTCATGTCTGTTTTGAAGTCTTCGTTAAAGTCTTATGAGATAAATTAACTGTTTTGAAGTCTAAACTAATAGATAACAAAATATACTCATTTAGGGATACAATGTTCATTTCAACAATAGTTTTTTAGATGATAAATTATTTTTTCTTTGATTCCCTTTTAATGGATGTATTGAAAACTGATTGAAATGCATATAAACTGATTGAAATGTCTATCAGTAGAGCCGGAAGATATGTTTCCATATTCACAGGAAGATATCCTGATATTACATTTGAGACTATTTCTGTTGATGAATGGATAAAAAAAATGTCTAACATATATTACTTCCATTGTCCGAACTGACATACAACTTAATGCAATGATAGTTCTTTTTTATAAATTATTAATAGTATTTAGGAAATTTGAATTAGCAATGTAGTAACTTTGGAGTTGTCTGTTTGATTTACAGAACCAACTCTCTGCCCAACTTTTCTCGCAATAAGCATACGTCTGAGAGCAAGAGCAGTACGCTGAATACGTCCATCATGTCGGAACCGGTACCGGAAGGTGGGTATAGAATAGGGGGCCAATGTGCACATTTACCCATTCATTTCAGCTTAGTTTACAGGAAACCTATGTGTTCAATATTGGCTACAATGGCTTTGTTCAGGGAGACACATAACCATCTCCACCTCACTGACCTTCAACAGAATGTCTCTCCCTCATAGGGGCAGTTAGAGTAGATGGCCATTGTTTGTGTTGTACACTTTGACTTCAGATGAAGCTATGGTGGCGAACTGGTCCAGGGTATTTATCTTAACAGCATGGAGGATTATGCCAGTCCTGATTATTCTGTGATATTGTGCATGGGTGTATACTAAAAGGTTAAACCCATGAAGATCCGGTGTAGAATAGGTCTTCAGTAACCCATGCTTGCCGTAAGTGGCGACTATGCTTCTCATAAGTGGCGACTAATGGGATTCGGTGGTCAGGCTCGCTGACTTGGTTGATGCGTGAATCGATGCTCATGATGTCAACCACTGGATTGTCTGGTCCAGACTTGATTATTTACAGACCGCTGTCATATAGCTGGAAAATTGCTGAGTGCGACATTAAACAAGAAACTAACAAACAAAACAAAACTTAAAGGTTATGTAGGATTTCATGGAATGATTCAATTCGTGTATTTTAATCAAATAGATAGTGAGAGAAAAAGACAGTTTGGTTAGCAGTCCTGTGCAATAATTTGCAATATTAACACGGCAAGGACGAGGTGTTCACATTTGTTATTGACCTTATAGCAGAGAATACAGTTATCTGTGCAGTGAGAGTTTATAGTGAAAATAATTAAGTGGTTATGTTTGCGTTCTGATGAACCAGGTCTGCAAATGTACAGACTGACTGGTCAGAATAGACAGATGTGCCACCCAGAAAACCAGGCTTCTTAGAGTAACAGCTTGATGTCTCGTTCCTTGTGTTGGGAATACACCTCTTGCCGGGGGACCACATTTACATAATAATGTGTTACAAAAGACTCATATGAACAATCACATTGATAGTGGCCCAGTTGTGTTTCCATAGATAATGTGGATATACAAGCTGGGTAACCTTATGTATGGAATAAATATTTCTCAATTATAGAAACATCAGTGGGGGAAAAACCCAAGAGGGGTTTTAACATGCTTGCCAAGTTTAAAGTGTCTTCTCAAATAAGTGGTAAAGAGTTGCTGTTTGGAATGTTAGCTTGACTCCGACTCTGCCTGCGTCTGTACACCCTTGCATGACAATGTTACGACACTCCTGTAGTCAAAACATGAACATTCCCACACCAGGGCAATATAGTGTTAACTCACCGGGGCTAAAGGCCTAAGTGAGCTTATGTCATGGCCTGTTCATCTGTCGTTCATTGTTGTTATTAGTGTATTATATATATTTCAGTAAGGCTGGAACTCAATGATCGAACCAAAGTTATCTTAATTGGCTTTAAAATTATTTCAGAGAAATTAAAATTCAAAAAAGGATAAAGCTGGATATAAAATGTGTTTTATTAGGTTTGTTCAATCAGGATTTAGACAGTTGCACCAATATGGTGGCAGGTGGCGCCAAGAATTGTACTTCCATTGAACCAAAACAAATCTCTACCGGTCTTTGCTTATTCCTTCTTGCAGACCCAGTACAGCCAATACAAGTCTGTAATATTTGGCAAGTCTTGATTACTGCAGTCTGAAAATGAAGAATGATTCTGGGCTGCTTTTTGTTATATTTTGTAACTATGATTTAACACTTTTCGTAAAATATGTTCATTTCAGTGACTAGATGATCGTCTAGTTTTTGACCTGAGAAGCAGTGTCAAAGTGTCATTTTGTATGTCAGATAGTTCTCAATAGAAAATATGATGGTGCCTGCTTCATCCTTCTTTTATCCTGATGACAATTTACCCTCCCAATAATAGCTACTTCATCTAGGTATGTCGATAAGAATTTGTTAAGTGGTTGCTTTTGAGGTGATTTGGCTTAGGTATAGGACCAGGTGAGCTACAGTGCCTTGGCATTAGTTTCACTGTTAACGGAATCGGCCCATCAGCCCCAGTGTTAATTAATTAATACTCAAATATCACTTGTTGTTTTCTCACCCTCACTGAGTTCCAGTATAGTAACCTTTCTAAAACACATCCACACAACAGTTTAATGGTTCTACTTAACCTTTCTAGATTATATGTTGAGTAAATGTGGAACCCTTCAGTTTTAAGTTTACATTTTACATGTGCTTTGCTTCCATTTCCTCTCTATGACTTTCAACAAGAAACGTTTACTGGAATAAAAATGTGGAATACTTAGATAATAGTGAAATGAGGATTACTGTAAATTGCCGGATTGATCTGTAAAAAAGCGTGTTGACATGTACTACACCATTTAGATAACACATGAAGAAAGTACGACATATTTGTATGCTGACAGTTGCACCCTAATTGATCGTATCAAGGACTTACTAATGCAAAGAAACATACACAGGATTCAGTGCAAAAGCAAATGTAAATATGACTGAGATTAGCGGTAATACCACATCTTAAGTCCTTGAGTACAGAAGTGTTCACATGTAATGCTACATGATGGGCTGTATTACTTCTGTTGGGTAGCGTGGTATATGGAGGTTAGCAGTAGTGTGCTGTATAGTGAGGCGATGTAGACATCGGGTAGGTACATGGGACAGTGGTCAGGGTGGATGCCTTACTAATTTCTGTAGCTGTAGCTGTATTGTGTTTTTTGTGTTTATAGATCGAAGACGCTACAATGGTAAGTGTGTTATCATGCCTGTCGGTAATATTTTGGCTCAGGTTTGGTCTTTTAAGTCATTTTGCTTTCATTATTGTCTTGTCAGTGACTAAAACCTAGCTGACAGCCAGAGATAGGTTTGTGTACATCTTGTCTTCAACAGTCATTTAACAATGCCAAGTGAGAATGTTTTTGTGTGTATTAATATTCAAACTGAAACAATATTGAAATTATTTTTTATTGAATTTACATTATCAAAATTGTTGTTTCTGTTTCAAACTTTTCTTTTGAAAATAAAATTCCCTGAAACTTTTTATGAAAATTATGTTTGCATTGTAAATACAGGGAACCAAGATTTAAAATTGAAATTCATCTAGTAACAGGTTTTCGTGTTGTGATAATGAAAAATCAGTTATTGAACTATTTTGGAAGTAATGTTAAATATGTTGTGAAAATACTTGTGATATATATTGACTGTTGAAGAACAATTTCTACATAGCCTTTAACGATAACCTCTTTTATCATCAACTGCGGTATGTTGGTATCTTTATTATGAATATGTGTATGCTGCCCATTTGAAATAGTAGTTTTATTGAAGCTCTAGAAGGACGTTTAAGACAAGAACTTTTCGGAAATTAGTTTTGGTCGACATGACTCTTAAATTACTTTTTGTGTTCATGTTTGAAAAACTAAAATCATTTGGATTCAATAGGCAGCAATTCACATTTTGCCAAGTATTCCAACTTTCAGTATTCTATGGCCGAAAAGATTCAAACTTGAGCGACTGCACATGACAGCTGACAAGGGTTTTTGGTTTTGATTACACTAACCGCATGTTTCACCTAATTCAACCTATTTCACCACAGTCAAGCCCTTGATTTGTTGCCACTGCCCAGGTAGATCAGCCACTGCCTTCTTCACTGGTGGTATACCATGCACGCTTGCTAAAGATACTTCCCCTTGCAAGCAGATATATTCAAATTCTGATTACGTGCTTCCCCCAGCCCACAGCTTTGACAACTGAGTAATGCTGATTTTGATGACTACAAAAACAAGTGTTAGATGATACAGATAAACAATTCCTTAAGTTAACTTGATTGGGGAAATACTTTTTGACATCATGAAGTAGTTCTTGGGTTTTTTTGTGTTAAAAAGGTGAGTTGCTCGGGCTATATGTCTTCGGTTGGCCTTCTCTAGAAACAGAAGTTTGGAAGTTTCTTTGCTATGAACAATGCAAGCTTTGTATCCCCAATGATTTTTTATTGTAATAAAAGGTCATTTTTGCGACAGTTAAGGGCCTAGTTTTCATACAGCAGAATACAGATTGTGAATTACCTCCCTTGGTTGAAAGCATGGCTGAATAGATATGTCTTGTATAAGGCTTGTGATGATAGTGTATAGTGATGTACAGTGTACAGTGATGATGATAAGCTGGTGTGTGCTTTGACTAGAGAACCTCTTTGTGACACAGGTGTGACTTCTCTAATTATTTAGTCAGAGTGACACGTCACTGAGATGGGTTTTTGACAGTGTTTGAATTAGACTTTACCTCAACTGTATATTGAGGATATTAACTTCACTTCTTCCCTAGCTATACCTATTTTTTCATATTTATATAAACTGGGGTGTGGAAATTTAATATTCACAGTATTCTGTCACCATAATTCTGTGCTGGTTAACCAATGGTTGATAGAAATACAGGCCAACACCACAGTGCCATAAACAGGAAGCAGGTTTCAGAGTATACTTGAAAATTTCAGTTTAATTTTGATAGGGTAACTCTAAATTTGTTTGCAATAGAAATGTACCCTGGTTACCAAACAATATATCTTGAATTGTACCCAGATTTTCAGTGCATATTGTTTTGTTGCCTGATTTTGGAAATCGTGATAGTGTATGTTGTAAATGTGTCCTCGATCGGTTTACGGCATTCTACAACATGGCTGCTCCCGCTCCCCTAAGAACTTTCTGTGTATTTAAATAGTATAAAACATTTTCCCTAGCTGATTGCATTAGAGGGTGTGTTTGAGATTAAGTCCAGGTATGAAAAATTATTACATTTCAGTGATGTGGATCTTTTGGTTGATCTTCCAGCTTAATTCTGTGAACAACATTGGCCCCTAATGCCGTAAAGCAGGTTTATGTCATAAACTTCTTGTGCTGCTAAATGAGGACAAAAATCAGGGTACACTTACCTGTAGTTATGGTCTGGGTTCAAAACGATATGCCAACAAAAATCTAGGTACAACGCGATATGTCATTTTGTACAGTGGGAACATTTAGGATTTACTTTCTACTGAATAGTTTTACTTGTGAAAAGACAACACAAATGCCTATCTGGTAGTCATACTAACGAGAGCTGGCATGGCAACAGTGAGTGAGTGAGTGAGTAAGTGAATATGGTTTTACGCCGCTTTTAGCAATATTCCAGCAATATCGCGGCGGGGGACACCAGAAATGGGCTTCACACATTGGGCCCATGTCGGGAATCGAACCCGGGTCTTCTGCGAGCGAATGCTTTAACCACTAGGCTAATAGACCGCCCCTCATGGCAGTATTTCCACACCCCACATATATGTAGTTGAAAGTATAATAGACACATCATCTATACTACATGCTGTAGAACATTGAAGATCAGTGACAGGATAGTGTGGTACTGCAACAAATTCGGTTAGCAACAGTGACCTGCTGATTGAGGGAATGAATTGTTTAATTTCCATTTTTGAAAAAAAAATCACCAAAGATATTAGGATCCAGTAAAATTATATCCAGCATGATATTTGATATAGCATGTATGAATTTATTATGGTGCATAGCTTGTGGACTGTATAGGCAATACACTGAGGGTGAGGAAAGGGAGAACTGCATGAGCAAGACTGCAGGAACGATTATCAATCAAGGTCACAAAGAGACCCCCTTTCTTTGTGCCTCCCACAGTGATCTCTCTACAACAATCAGGGCTTCATTCCAAAAAGTGGTATTGGAGCTACAACTATTGCAATTTCCATATGTTGACATAGATTTGTGATAGTCATTGCTCTGAGATAACTTCTTGGAACGAGAGTCTGTTTTTTATGGAGGTGTGGCCCCATTTTTAATATTTATTTACTAGCTAATTAAGCCATACTGACCCAGCCCAACAAGAGACTTGATTTAAGGTCTCCCAGAACATGGATTTCAGCAGGCCCTGCACACCACCAGCCAACATCTTTACAATGCCTTCCCCTGTCTACGTTATATCAGGCTGTCTTGTGTCGTTGTACTATTGCACAGTCTCCTATTTGTGGCTTCTTTAGAAACTGGGAATTGTTTTGGGTGACGTTCTTTCTGTGTTTGGTTTTATACCTGAATCCATGCTGCAAGTCGTTTCCCTTCAAATTTGGACTTTTGTTTAAAGTTTGTGTAATTTATGTTGCCAAATCTTAAATTGCTGTTGCTTTCGATATTTATGTACAAGTAAGCTCTAGGTACCGTATACAGGTATAACTGTATGGTGATCAGGAGTTGGAGCTTTTTCATATCTCTGTACAAGTTTGCTGCTTCACATTGAAGGGTGGTCAATACCAATTCAGCATTTGTTTAAGAATAATTATTAAAATAAAATGGTCATTCCCAAAGAGTAAGTTGTACAGAAATGTTATTCAATTTGTAAAATGTTTTCTGAATAATAAATTGTAAAGATATAGCAATATTGTGTGCAAGAAACAAATGATAATTTCAGATTAGTATGCACAAAGTAAAAATCAACAGGACTTGTAATTGAAGTATTTACATTCCTTGAGAAAATTAATTATGTTATTTTTAAATTTGGACCTCAGCCAAACATGGACTTGCAGTTTCATTCCCTACTTAACTTGTTCTGTTTAATCTACTAGTTTACCTTGCACCGAGTCGCCGAGCCCAAGGTAACTACACTTGCATGTTGATCACATACCCCTCATCTGATCAGCTCCATCACCCCACCCACTTTCATCATCCCTCCCTACACAGCCATGTTGATCACATACCCCTCATCAGATCAGCTCCATCACCCCACCCACTTTCATCATCCCACCCTACACAGCCATATTGGTGGTCAAACTCCGCATTCAGTCTCTCTTCACAGTTTCGCTGTTCTAGTCAGGGGCTGAAAGAAAATTCAATTTGATAAGTTACAAAACTCAGGAATGTCTATTGAAATTCTAGGGTAAGCTTGTCAGTAAAACAAGAAACATATTTGGCCTTGCCTGAACCAGACGTACAATGTCAATGAGTATGAACTTTATGATCTTATTCATCATGAATGTGTTTGTAGAATTTGATGTTATACATTTCATATGTACTGTTCACAATCAGTGTACCAGATGAACTATAAAGTTTATATATCATCAAGCTTTCAGTCCCCTGAGAAATGTTGATTATTTCTGTCACTGGATTTGCCGTGAGTGCACTGTGCCATCACAACGTTAGATAGTGCAATTTGAGGGACATGCTTCTTATTTCATTCTCATTGATTATTTGCTTGTTTGCCAAGCCTTCTTCACACTTGTCTGATGCCATTCACCTACACAGGAAAATGTGTCTCAAGTTTGAAATCATTGTTGTTGTGTCAGACAGTTGTCCTGAATACTGGACACGTTGAAATCTTCAGGAAGAAGCCTAGATTGTCATGGTTATGTAATAGCTAGATGTATTAGATGCCATTGCCTTAAACTTTCATCCCATACAAATAGTAACAAAATATCCTGTTATGAATGACAACTACTTATGTACATATTAAAACTGATAATAAAACATAATATTAATCAGATTTTAAAATGCATGTAAAATCTTGCCTTTCACTAATATTGACTGTTTATGATATACAATTAATTGATGTTATGTAACCTTCAGAGCTAACACAGACTGTATCTATAACTAGGGTTGATGGACATATATCCCTACCTTGAATCACGACCTCTGAATAAGCCCTGTCTCTCTCTTCTTCCACCCCCATCCCTACTCCCTCTCCCACCCCTTCTCTCCCTCCCAGGCTGCCTCTGTGGTCTAGTGGTGTTGCATCCTCCCGGGGGAGTCATACCAAAGATGTTAAGAGATGGTACTTGTTGTTACACTACCTTGCGCTCAGCATTAAGGGGCTGAAACAAGGACTGGTCGGCTTGGAGTCAGTGAACTGTGTCTGAGTGGGGTATTCATGTTAATACTGTGGCATGGTATCTCAGTGGGCTAGCACTATAAAATTGGCATTAGTCCGGACTAGTAGTACAAGAGCGCGCAAGGACTGTTTCAGCTGCAGCAGCAGGGGACTTTTTTCATGTCTAAATTATTCATTCTCAGCATTAACTAACATGTCATAAGAATTCAGAGCTTGCTCAAATTCAGAATGGAAAGACCTGAAACTTTTTCTGGATACCAACATCTGTATTATCAATGACAATATTTGTTATCCATCCAAGTTCCATGTCTTCATGTTCTTCCAACTTCTAAATGCCTATCAAAGAATTAATAGAATGTAGATAGCAAACTAGATTAACAGGAAAGAATAGTTTAGCAGAATGTGGCACAAATTGTAATATTAGGTGGTGATTCTGTAGTGATTGTTTATGTAGATGGGTTATATTTTCTTTATCACACAAGCTGTTATATAATCATCTGGATAGATGCCAATGCAGGTAGTCAACTTAATCTTAATGGGCAATAAGCTGTTACTAACTACTCCTTGCTACATCAACACTTATTTACCTTTTCTTCACCTCGAAGAAGGGTCATTTTGCGTACCACTTTCTTCTGATTATTATAATGATTCATAACTCTGAACTTTCATCTAATAAGATACAGACAGTTATTTCTTAAATGCAAACCTACCACTGATTTCATTTTAGAGCTGTGTAGAAGTCACTTTGGAAATATTTGCTAAATGTTAACAAGACCGTGTAAATATCATTTAAAGGAATACTGTTGCTTTGTTATCAAGATGTTTTTCACATGATTGTATCATTATACTTATATTCTGTTATAGTACCAATAGTCAAGATTTGTATATTAGAGACTAGGTCTACCTGCTCATTAGTAGTATAGTGATAATAACAAGAATAATTAATAAGAATATTATGCATAACACTGGCAATTACTGATGAGCTCATCGCCTCTGATGAAAACTGTTCATTTCATGTGTTTTGAATAGGAATGGCAGAAGAAACTCCAAATCAGTCATTTGAAATCACCCGAACAGGTGAATTGCTTATATTCTATTTTGGGTTCACACATCTCTCTCTTTTGTTGCTCCACAGTTGGTGGGTAAACCCTGCACACGCAGCGTTAATAATGTGACACATCTGTCCTGCACACGCAGCGTTAATAATGTGACACATCTGTCCTGCAAACGCAGCGTTAATAATGTGACACATCTGTCCTGCACACGCAGCGTTAATAATGTGACACATCTGTCCTGCACACGCAGCATTAATAATGTGACACATCTATCTGATTTTTGCCAACTCAGCATTCATGCCTTTGTATTTGTGTTTCAGTCCAAAGTACCAGTGACACATGTTTGCCATATTTTCATATTTACATTAGACACATGAAGTGTCATGATTGATAATGGTCAGATTACAAATCTGCATTGGTTTTGTAAATTATCTCAAATTAATGTAACAGATTTTGATATTTCATGCTTTTAATGTTTGTGAGTAAACAATCTCTGGTAGCAATAAACAAGGATGAAGGTGTTACTGCTGAGTGTGGCTTGTTTACACATGCATGTTGTGATTGACAGGGAGTAGGTTTGTATATACAGACAGCAGAGGGATCAGCTTGGTGGCAGGGTTGTAATGATTCACTCAGTGATGGTAATCGCGATACTGTCCTCACTCGGTAATGGTATATATGGTGAAACCGTCTTCACTTAGTAATGGTACATCAAGATACTGTCCTCACCGAGTAATGGTATATATGGTGAAACCGTCTTCACTTAGTAATGGTACATCAAGATACTGTCCTCACCGAGTAATGGTATATATGGTGAAACCGTCTTCACTTAGTAATGGTACATCGAGATACTGTCCTCACTCAGTAATGGTATATATGGTGAAACCGTCTTCACTTAGTAATGGTACATCGAGATACTGTCCTCACCCAGTAATGGTATATATGGTGAAACCGTCTTCACTTAGTAATGGTACATCGAGATACTGTCCTCACCCAGTAATGGTATATATGGTGAAACCGTCTTCACTTAGTAATGGTACATCGAGATACTGTCCTCACCCAGTACTGTTACATTGCAATACTGTCCTGAGCCAGTATTGGTACATCGCGATACTGTCCTCACCCGGTATTGGTACATCACGATACTGTCCTCACCCAGTACTGTTACATTGCAATACTGTCCTGAGCCAGTATTGGTACATCGCGATACTGTCCTCACCCGGTATTGGTACATCACGATACTGTCCTCACCCAGTACTGTTACATTGCAATACTGTCCTGAGCCAGTATTGGTACATCGCGATACTGTCCTCGCCCAGTATTTGTACATCGCGATACTGTCCTCACCCAGTACTGTTACATTGCAATACTGTCCTCATCCAGTATTGGTACATAGCGACTTCCATACTTTAACATAGACTTACGATCATCGTAGCGCTAAGGTTGTTTTGTACAACAGCACCCAGAACAATAAAATAGGTCAAATGACCAGTTCAGGCTATTGGAAACAAGAATGATTTGGTAGCCTCCCAAGTCATTCTCTTTGGCCCTGAAAGTGTCTCTTTGCACTTTCTGTTGTGCTATATCATGCCGTGACAGTGAATCATTACAGCCCACCTGGGTGCACCATTTCCTGCTTGGCCCACTTGCACTTAGCGCTAAGACCGTCACAACTCCCATTCTGTAACATAAACCTACAATAGTCTTTGCATTCTGATTGCTTCCTGCAAGTGGGCCAAGGCTACACTTTCATCATCAGTTCTACATTAGGACATATAAAATAGTGTTGTGGTTCCGATTACACTTTATTTTAGAATAGGGTAGGTAGGAGAACCCATTTCTACGTTTTTTTTATTTTATGGAATTTAAAAAAACAAACTTACAGGATTACAGTAAAATTGTACAATGTTTTGTGGATGGGTGATCGGATCCACATCACTTTTAGATTCTCTTAGAAGATGGGATTTTCAATTCATGAATTTGGATTCCCAATTCATGAGATAGCAGCTACAAGTATGAGGTTGGGGTTAACAGATCATGAGGGGATTCACCAATCATCTATCAGCTGTGGTTCAAAGTTCATGGGGTTCACAGGTTGTAACGCTTAAGAGTTTGCTTCTTAGAATGGTGTGGAAATGTATTTATTAGAAGTTCAAGAACATCCGATTCTTGCATATTTGTAATATGAAAGAAGTGGTGTTCTTTAACCTTTGTGTCTTGTACGTAGGAGTTTGTGGCTTCATGGAATGTGTGGAGATCCATGGGTATGTGGAATCTTATGAGCGAGGAAAAAAGGCATTTCATTTTGCATGACATTTGTATGCCGTGAATGAAGTGTCCCTGACGGAATCTTGAACACATGGGTATAAGTATATGCCTGTGTTTATATAGATCAAGAGTTGTAAAATTCAGAGGCCAGCCATAGTGTTATAAAATAATTATACATCATCTGTATGGATGTGGCAATACACTGTATTCGCTGTAAGAGATGCTGTTTCCTGCGACGTTTGGGGTATGATTGCTGTGTTGATGCACATTTTCTTTCTCTGGATTAAACACATGGGAAGCTCTCACTAATCTCTTTATAAATATTAGATACAAAGTCTACCACTAATAGCAATCTTTCACATTTAACTGAGATTGCATAATTATCTCCCTTTAATATATCCAGCTGTGCTATTTATATCAACTAATATGTGGTTCTTGGGAAGTAACATATGAATGAATACATGGCTGCTGCAACAGCATCAGATGTAGGGCCACTCTCGGCAGTTCAAGGTTTTGTTTCATGGCGTATCTGTTAAATATTGTTTTCATCATGTTAAAATGTTCTATTGTCATGTTGCTTTCAAATTTGTTTGAAGACCTTTGTGTTCAACACACCCCATTAAATCAGTTGCATCCCTTGGGCATGCCAGGAACCTGTAACCATAGGTTCAAATACCTGTTCGCCCCTATTATGTTTCTAGGGTTGTCGGCACTATACCCATGCTCATGAACTTCTGAAACCTGCATCACTTTGGGCTTTCCTCTCACATTAAGCTGACAAGCTGTGATATAACTGGAATACTGTTGAAAACAGCGTTAAACCCAAACCATTAACTCGTAAATATTGGCTATGAAAACTCGCTGAATGAGTACTCATTTTGTTTCTATATACCCAAATCTTGTGTATCAACATCAGTACTCTACATTATACAGCATGGTTGTGATACATGTATCAGTCATTGTGTGATATCATTCGCCATGGTCTCATGTCATGTAAGCACACATATCGTGTTTGCTTTGTGTATGGCATGAAGTGATATCAGTTGTGGTCATGTATGAAAATGATTTGAATTTTACAATATACCAAAAGTCAAACTATTGCATAGTAATGTCAAAAAGTTTAGGATGTAACAGTGACAAGAAGCCAGACATTAAGATGTCAGTAGTTCTACTCCAGCAGTGTCAGAAGGCATAGCAATTCATAGCAAGTCACAGCAATTCATCATGGTTAAAGGGGGACTACTCCATGATCTGGAGCCTCACCTCGGTCTAGTAATTAGTAGCTTAAAAATGAGCCACTGTCTAGGTATAAGGGTAATCATCAACTGCTAGAGTTATATATGTCATTATGTGGGAAATGCACACAAATTCAGTCAGTTTGAATTGAATTTTCTAGGAGCGCCAATTTGCCAGAGTTTAGTCTTCCTTTATGGAATCCTTGAACTAATTGAACTTACGAAATTTTGGAAATTTTTCCTGTCAGAGGATTAGTGACTAAAATGGGTTAGTTTCTACCGCTGGAAAATACAAAGGCTAATATGTGTTATTATGTCACAATATCATGTTCCGTTTTGGATAGCACATTACATTTTTGTTGATGTTTGCAGAAGCAGCAGTGGATGTCCCAGGGAATGCCTTCGGAGCGCAGACGTCAAGCCCCATTGTCCAGGAGAGCCCTGTGTTGCAGGCACCCCTGGCTGCAGAGGAGAAGTTTGATATGCAGAAGGTGCAGGCCGTGTCCGCCAGCGCTCCCGGTCAGAAGACCCCTGTCAATGGATCTGTCCCGGTTGACTCCTCCTTCCTGGAGACCAGCATCGATTCCATGCCGTCCTACCAACCAAACATGACGATGGATGACGAAGAAGAAGACGAGAGGACACCCAAGCCATCACTGGACGAGCAGATTAAGCAGCTGGAGGAACAGTACGAGAAGATCACCAGCGACCAGAACCACATAGCACCTGGCGGCAAAGTCGGCGGAGCCGCTCCTAAAGCCAATCCTGCCCCTACCAGTTCATCAAAGTCTCCGCCCAAATCTATGTGTGCAACCTGCTGCAAGGTTTTAACCTACTCAATCCTGTTTGCTGTACTTCTAATGGTGGTGACTTTTGTTGTTTTGTTCTACACAAAGTTCGACCACCCATTGCTTGATGAGGGACGGAAACAACTGCAATTCCTGGAACCTGTCAAGCACTATATCGACGACTCTGTGGAAGCAATTGCCAACAAGTTCAAGTGAAGAAATAACGCCTTATTTTGTGTCAGAGTTATTTTTGGTTACATATCATTGGCAATAAGTGACAGAGCCAACTTGCAGAGAACATGTTACACCACTTAGATTGTGATAGAATATTGCATTGTAAAACCTCTCCTGATTTTCCTATCATGCCTATAGCACTCTTTTTATTTTGTTATTAACATGGAAAAAGAGGAAGCACAGTGCAATTACTTTTTATTCCGTAACAATGTATTTAGATTTATGGTACAGTTTTAAAGGAACATCATGAATCTCATATCAGTTTTCCATTTCAATTATAATAATAATAATAACTATTATTGGACAAATGTTATAAATATTATCAGAAAGATAAAAATTCTTCTCTTGAGCTGGTTTTGCTGGTATTTTGCTAGAGTTTTACATTTAACAGATCGGGAGTGATTATTCTTCTCTCGTGTCTACCTCTGGTAAAAAAAAACACATTACTGCCTTACCGATATGGCACTCAGGAAGACATTCTTTGTTCAGTGTGTAAGTGCTATACATACTTAATAATCTGACTAGTAACTGTTTAATGTGCCTACCATGAGATACAAGTGTTAAGTTTGTCAAATTATCATTTGTTTTTAAAGTAAGCTGCACTTAAATTCTATGAAAATCCCGAATAGAATAAATGTAATGCATAATATGGACTGTGATTTTGACTGAGCCTTGGTTCCCTGTATAGTTTGTGTGAAGGAGAGGTTTTAGTAATGCAATATGGTGGGGACGTTACCATGGTGATTATTTCTCCCTTTTATGAGTTATTTTAGATTTCAGTCAATGTTGAATGTGTCTATTTTTTAGCCTTTTTAGACACGTTAAGAAAAACATGAAATGTGGTTTCAAAATAATGATATTTGGTGAGCATTAATAGTAATATTTAAAATTAAGGCCATATGGCTTTCTCTGCCTGTCAGCGTGGAGATGGTTATTGTGACATAGACGTCCACTGCTGCAGTATCACACTAATTACAATGAAGTGCATCACCAAGTGTATGTCCCCACCATCTTGTTTTGTGTGACCGTGATCTGAATCTATTTACACCTCACCCGCTGGTGCGGTTTACATTTCAGGCCCTCATCACGTGACTTGTGAGTTTTGTGACGCTTTTTTTCGCACGTTGATGAGGTGTAGCTGAAAGCTGAGGGGGCAAAAAAAGAGAGACATGTAGGAGGGTGCAGATGGACAGCGACAAATTGTACATTTGTTGTAGTCGACAATTTGTTTGTTCTACTTGATACTTTTGTTTTCAAAATGTACTGGGGAAAGACTGTAAGGGTAGACCTAGGATATTCCTTTGTACTATCTCTGTATATTGTTAGGTGGAGTGATTTGTCTGTCCACCCCTCTGCACCCTCAGATATAAAAGAATGGATTGTAGACAAGAATAATTATTTATTTGCAAATAATCTAGTTGATCAACAAAGTTTGGTTAGTTAATGTGCCTGCTCGTGCAATTCTATTGATTATACTAATCCTGTCATGACAAAAGTATCCGCTTTGCATAAATGTAGACCCAAATTGATTCTGTTGCACTGTAGTTCTGCATGTAATACACATAAAAATATCACTTTCATTTAACTCTCTTATCCTCAAAGTTCAAAGCTGAGATTTATAAACCATTGCAGTAGAGTACCTTGCTTCTTAATCTGAGTCTCGGAACAGAGGGATATTCAAACTGATGGTTGCTATGATACAGTGTACTGTAAGTGATGCTGGTCAGGTAGGTAGTATAGAAAGAGCATTGGTATCCTTCATTAGTGTATGGTGCTACAGTCCATAATAGGAGGGTGTTAATTTGTTCGGGCTTGGAGGATCAGTAGTGGTGTTTCGTTTTTTGTGTGCAAATAATAAGTTTTGTCAGTATGTATTGGAATGTTTTTACCCAAATAAGTCTCAGCTTTGATAACTTGGTTTTCATTGGTTGGATGGAGGCATTGGTACATTTGACAGCTTTGATCTGTCGCAGCAAAGGAGGAATAGTTTGGGCATGAAGAGAATGAAATAGTCTCTGAAGAGAAAAGGTTATTATCCTGGAGGAGAGACTGTTGTTGACTTAGCTGATTTAAACCATGCCGGTGTATACTTGAACACTGAGAAGAAATTGTTGAGATAAGATCAACATTGTTAGAGTGGAGTGTCCATCAGGAACCGACTATAAACCAACTGCGAGGATGAGAGAGTTAGATCTGCCTCAGAGTGCTGCTTGATTGGGTGGGCTTGTATTTACATTCAGCATCTGATGATCACCAGATGAAAGTGAAGTATCGTACATCACTGTATCGGTTTGAGAACGCATTGTTTTTTGTCACTAATTATCTGCCAGTCTGGAATTTTTTTTCTTTTTAAGGTATGGTGTTTTGATCTCAAGGAGTAGAAATTTGAGATTTATATTGAAGCATTTCTGTCTGTTTTATGTTTCAAATATTTAATTTCATTTTAAATGGTAAACTTTGGCATTTTTATGAGGAATTTGTTTATTGAAATGTTGAAATTAAAATGTTTACATAGAATATTCATACGTAATTGTTTAACATTGTCTTATTTATTTCTATCACACTATGACATTTTCCTGCGATTTCAATTTTGAAATCCGGATATATGATGGCGGATATCGGTACTAATTATCCACTTGTTGCGTATGCTTATATTGTAATGTAGATATTTAGCTAGAATATCAACACGCTTGTATCTTCAGTTCTGCTGTGTTTCAAGTCCATAAATTATGCAATACAACTTGATGTGTACAACATACTGGCAAAATAACGTACTAACTCTCGGATCATCTCATTGTAACATAGGCCATCGTCATCGCTCATGGAACTCGACTTGGCTGTAACATATAATCGACCCCCACTGCTGGAAGAGGCAAAAACTGAATTAATATTTTTAAATCGTGTTGAAATTTATTGACAGATTAACTTTTCTTCATATGTTGTGTCAAGAGGAATCTATGTTGTACATTGTTACATGTGATTGTTCTGTGGCATGTTTATATGGTATACAAACACAAACTAAGATTTTGATTTTCTATGGTCAGGTTTGCCCTTTGCCTCTCTCAAGCAGTAGTTACTGTAAGTCCTCAATCAGAAGCTGGGTTGCAGGGAAAACTGATAGTGACAGGGTGCACGAGGGCTGGAACTCAATCAGTACAGTGGGTTTAAATGTAACCATTTTTTTAATTCACTATTTTTATGTCGCTTGTGAGTTGAAGATAATGAAGGACAAACTTAAATAAAGGCCGGTCTCAGTTTGAGACAAGAGCAGGGGGGAAACTAGAAGACCCAGGCATCTGTTTGAGGACTTAGTTTTTTCATCTCTTTGAAACGCTATTCATTTTGTAAGCTTGCCATTACAATGCTATTTTAGATCTATCACATCCTGCATGTTTTAATTCAAATAATTTGTTCATGTGTTTGGACATATCCATCATGATCTTTGTTGAGATTTTATGTACAAACCGATACTCATCTAGTTACTGCACATAGATAAATTGTTACATATTCTCAATTATGTAGAACATAATCTAAAGTTGGTGATATCTTAATTTTCCTATTCTGTTTGTATAGAGAATGAGCTTTCTCGCCTTTGTATGGTACCCAGGCTTGAGGATCTATGTGTATATACATACAAATATATGCGTTAAACTTGGCAGCCACTGAACAAGTGCTTTCTTAAGCTCGGTTGAGTTTAATGAAGTGTCATAGAGTTATTCCTTCCTGTCCATCAGCTGTGTTTGTTTGTCGGTTAAGTGATGTGTGGTGGTGTTTTATTTTAGACATGTTGTTGGTGTTGTACATTCTTGTTAAGACTTAGAAACAAATACCTACATTTATACCTTCAATACAACCACTTTTCTCCAGATTTATTTCTACAAACCACAGGAGCAACAGAATTTTGAATGTACTCCAGTTATAACCATTGAAACTTTTACAATCTATATTAAGCATGGAACCAACCACATTTGAGATGAGATAGAATATCTGAGTGTATACATGGTAGCATCCATCAACAAGACAGATGCCAACCATAATTTGAATGAACAGAAGTTGTGTTGGATTTATCATCTGGTGAAATGATCAGAATCAAAGTTTTATTTGAACTGAGTAACCTTACTATGGTTGAAATGAATTATGTCTGACTTTGGGAATTGTTTCAAGTGGAACGTATTAACCTTGGTTTAGTTCATGAAGAAACAGAAAAAAGACTTTGTATGATGATGCTTGTAGTTGGATTTTTGTGAGGTATTAACATTGTAAATGATGAAACAAGATTGTGCTGGGGATGTTATTTCACTGATTAACAGTTTACTGACTGATGTGTGACCTCCACAGAACTCCCAGAGATAATGTCCTCTACTTTAAGCAGACCATTTTTTACTGTCAAGAAATTATGCAAAACCATGAATTTTTCAGATAAAAATATTTCTTACATTCTGCATTTTATTTAAGAGATATTTATATTTTTCTTATTTATTTATGAATTGTTAAATAAAGGTGCACTGTAGATAAAGGTTAGTGTGAAAGAGAAACCTTTGACGACCAGTAGACATGAGGCTTCCCTGGATCGTGCATGGGGGGTTTCATCCATTACTACATTCACGGCATTAGCAGCTTCCAATGCTTCTAAATCATTCATTACCTACATCAGTTACATTCAAAAACTTCCACTTGACAAAAAGCACTTCTGATGAATTTTTCACGACACTTTTCTCTTAAGTAAATGTCAACTATTTCTCTGCATGATATCTTTTTATCTGAGTAACAATATTCCCTCCAAGTGTCTGAGGGACAGTGGTGATATAACTTTCCTGGATTTTTAAAGACATCCCAAGTGATGAATAGCTTGATATATAACAATGCAGGCGCTGACTGCCCTTTAAGACTGATTTCTAATATTAATGCATGTTTTATGAACCTCATGCTTAGGTCAACTTTAGTTCGCAGTTATTTTGCTATTATTTTTATTTTCTGCGGGACCAACTTTTGTTCGTCCCTCCCTCCCTTGTGGTTGTGTACTGGCTCGCCTGATAATTCTGTGTCTACTTTGTAGAATGCATCGTATCGAGCATTTACAAGGATTTTCAACAAAATAATTAAAAAAAATCCACTCTGTAGAAAAATAATTGTTTTGTCATTTGTTGTGATTGAAGTTGAAGAGATGTTCAAATGAACTGTGCAGAACTTGTACAGCCCTGAGTGAAGCTTGGTTTCATGGGCAACTCTTGGAAATGGTGACACACACCTTGTAACACAATCCTCTTAAGTGGACTTGCAGGATTAATAAGACTAATATATGAATATAAATATACACTACCCAAAAGAAGTTAAAGAATACCTGATTCTTTCATATTGCCATGAAAAATTAACTATACTGTAGTAATGTGAAAGAATCGGGTATTCCTTAACTTCTTTTGAGTAGTGTATATATAATATACATGTACATCAGCTACGGCATTACAGATGTGAATAAGTATTTTAACTTCCAAGCCTTGTAATTGTTGAAGATAGGTTACTATTTATAGTCCTTCTGAAAAGAGGTATTAAAATGGGGGTTTCCTGATCCCATTTGGAGACATTGTTGGAACAGTCAAGAACAATGGAGCACTCCATCTTCATTTATTTTACAATGTATAGGTTCCTCTGGTATGAGTGAGTGAGTGAGGGAGTAAAAGATGCACTCAAGGTTTGCAACACCAGGTGTGGATGCTGCATGGGATATTTGGCAATCGTTCCCATCACCCACTTCAATTGAATAAGATTTCAGCACAAATACCCAGCCAAGCCTTAAAAACATCTAACAGAGGTTATGGACGAGATCCTAAACTCTTTAGCTAAAGCACCATGGTCTCACAACACAAATCATCAACTGTGGACGCTGCACACATGCCCTGCAAAGGACCTGGCAAATGTTCGGGAATTGTTCCCGGTTGCACCCACTTCTCACAACTGTGTCTGCCTCCAAATCATTAACACACAGTAGCGACACCTACTGATGTCGGACTATGGAAACCATATCAAGTGTGAGGCAAGGAGAATCCAACATGAGACCCATTCTTCTGGGGCCAGAAAGAGGCATATGAAAATATAGACGTCAACAGCTTTTCAATGTACCGGTACTAAAACAAAGAACTATCTAACCAGGAGATTTTGTCCTTTGATTTAACATTTCAAAACACTTCCATCAATTTTAAGTGGCCTGGTTAATGAATGACACGGTGTTCATTATAATCTTGACCACATTGATAAGCTACAAACTGAGATCTATTGAAATTAAAACAAGCTTCTTTTGAAAAATATTTGTATTTAAGCTATCTTGTATTTATGTCATTAATATCCTATTGATATTTTTCTTCATTGATTCATTCAGCCTTGCCCTGTTTTGAAATGACAGGAACATCAACTTTATCAGACAAGGAAATTTTCAAACCAGAAATATACCTGATCTTATGGAATTTTATTGATGGTATTGGAAGCAACACAACAAAATGTGATACATGACACGAAATCTGAAAACTGAGGGACTGCTCCACTACAAGAACAGTTACCCCCCCCGTTTTTGTTGGGACCATCAAGAATACATCTTGTTATCCATAGCGTGAAGCAAGTAATATTACACAGATAAAAGATTCTGCAAAGGAAAGAAATATGTAACAGAGACTTTGTACTAAAATATTTCTTGCATAAACCTGCAATACTTTTCCATTTTTAACTTCAGATTTTTCATTTCATGCCTTAAGTACAAACGTTCTAAACTTGTAGTCACTTGATCACCAGGGTTACACAAGCACCTCCATGATGAAATATACAGGGTACTTAGTGACAAGATATCAGCAACATAAATTAATTCAAACATTTTATTAGACCTACTGAGAAACACCAGCCAATCCTTCTCTCTCATACATATAAGTCAAAGTAACAATCTCTCATTAAACTGAAAATGATTTCAGCACAATATCCAGCCAAGCCTTAAAAACATCTAACAGAGGTTAATGGACGAGTTTTTAAACTCTTTAGCTAAATCACCATGGTCTCACAACACAAATCATCGACAGTCTATGGACCATTCATTGACGCCTTCTGAAGACTGACAGAAAATAATTCCCTATGCTGGGTATAGAAGTTGTGTGTGTGTGTGTTTGTTGTTGTTACACCTGACAATATTTCAGCTCTATGATGGCAGCCTGTATATATATCCAGTGACCGATATTGTGACCAATGATCCATGCTGTCGGTGTACGTTGACACGCCAAGTCTGACCACCTGATCCATGAAGTCCCCTCTTACAACAAATACAGATCTCCAGGGACCACCAATTCATCGACGCTCTCCGGCCCATTCAGTGAGGCCTTCTGGAGACTGACATAACATTATCCCCATGCTGATTGTAGAATCACCAGTAGAGAGGGACATAAATTGTGAACATTGTTCTACATGAAACAGTAGTGAGTATTTGAAATAACATCTGAGGATTGGGCTTGTGTTAAAGGAGGGCCTTACACACACTTACACACACATGTGTGTGCTGATGATTGGGCTTGTGTGGAAGGGGGGCCTCACACACATACACACACAACTGTGCTGATCATTGGGCTTGTGTTGAAGGGGGGCCTCACACACACTTACACACACAACTGTGCTGATGATTGGGCTTGTGTTGAAGGGGGGCCTCACACACACGTGTGCTGATTGGGCTTGTGTTTAAGGGGGGCCTCACACACACTTACACACACGTGTGCTGATGATTGGGCTTGAGTTGAAGGGGGGCCTCACACACACTTACACACACACGTGTGTGCTGATGATTAGGCTTGTGTTGAAGGGGGGCCTCACACACACTTACACACACGTGTGCTGATGATTGGGCTTGTGTTGAAGGGGGGGCCTCACACACACTTACACACACACGTGTGCTGATGATTGGGCTTGTGTTGAAGGGGGGTCTCACACACACTTACACACACATGTGTGCTGATGATTGGGCTTGTGTTGAAGGGGGGCCTCACACACACTTACACACACATGTGTGCTGCTGATTGGGCTTGGGTTGAAGGAGGGCCTCTCTCTCACACACACACACAACTGTGCTGATGATTGAGCTTGTGTTGAAGGGGGGCCTCACACACACAAACAAACACACACACACAACTGTGCTGATGATTGGGCTTGGGTTGAAGGAGGGCCTCTCTCTCACACACACACACACGCTAATGACTGGGCTTGTGTTGAAGGGGGGCCTCACACACACACAACTGTGCTGATGATTGAGCTTGTGTTGAAGGGGGGCCTCACACACACACATACACACACGCATCTGTGCTGATGACTGAGCTTGTGTTGAAGGAGGGCCTCACACACACTTACACATGCATCTGTGCTGATTTGGCTAGTCTTGAAGGATCACACACACACATACACACACACACATCTGTCCAGGGGCACTATAACTGTTTCAATGCGTCATCAATGTCCTCAATCTGATCCTTCAGACTGTTCCACTGGTCCAGTGTAAGTGAGATTCCTGAAAAACAAAACCATAATTGAAGCTCACCTATCTTCAAGCTCACAAAACTTCACATTGAATAAAAACAGTACATAAATTTGGATATTCACAGGGTTAGAATACTGATCCTGACACACGCATTGCAATTTCCTTCCTCTTATCAATCTTCAATCATATAACACAGCACCCGAAATGTGCCTCATCTGCCTCTGGAGAACCTGTTGCCATTGGTTATCTTACCCTGATACCTGATGGATACTGGCCCCACTTTCGTATTGTTATGTGGTGCAATAATGATTCATGTATTGCAATACCTACTAAAACATATGGCATGATATTTTTCATTTGTAATTTGTTATGAATGTGAATGAAAATGGACCCAAACATCAGACTTCCCTCGCACATTTTTGACAACTTCGTAGTCGTCTGCTATTTGTTGGATGTGTAATATACACATTATATACAGGAAGCTGGAATCAAGCAGGAATCAAGCCGCGAATCTCTGGATTTTAAATTGATTTGTCACTTTGCGACCAAGATGAAAAACTGCATGATTTTGAAGAACACAATAAACCGCTATTTTCCAAACATATTGTGGTACGTTTTCATTAGTATTTCAAGTTGTGGTACGGTAATTCCGTGCACCTCTTCTACTAGGATACCCAGTCAACCTGCATACCTTTCTTCCCTGGCCTCAGGTCTCCGTCAACCTCGTAGTATTCCCTGATGCTGACCATCGCCTTACCGCGAAACTCACTGATTGTGGCATACCTCATCCTGGCAATCTGCAACATCGAGTGAGTGAGTGAGTGAGTGAGTGAGTGAGTGAGTGAGTGAGTGAGTGAGTGAGTGAGTGAGTGAGTGAGTGAGTGAGTGAGTGAGGTCTGGGAGATGATTTGTGAATGTGTGAGTGGGTGTGAGTGAGTGAGGTCTGGAACATGATTTGTGAGTGAGTGAGTGAGTGGGTGTGAGTGAGTGAGTGAGGTCTGGAACATGATTTGTGAGTGAGTGAGTGGGTGGTTGGGTGGGTGGGTCTTGGTGAGTGAGTGAGTGCAATCTGGAACATGATTTGTGAGTGAGTGAGTGCAATCTGGAACATGATTTGTGAGTGTGTGAGTGGGTGTGAGTGAGTGAGGTCTGGAACATGATTTGTGAGTGAGTGAGTGAGGTCTGGAACATGATTTGTGAGTGAGTGAGTGAGATCTGGAACATGATTTGTGAGTGTGTGAGTGGGTGTGAGTGAGTGAGGTCTGGAACATGATTTGTGAGTGAGTGAGTGAGGTCTGGAACATGATTTGTGAGTGAGTGAGTGGATGTGAGTGAGGTCTGGAACATGATTTGTGAGTGTGTGAGTGGATGTGAGTGAGTGAGGTCTGGAACATGATTTGTGAGTGAGTGAGTGAGGTCTGGAACATGATTTGTGAGTGTGTGAGTGGGTGTGAGTGAGTGAGGTCTGGAACATGATTTGTGAGTGAGTGAGTGAGGTCTGGAACATGATTTGTGAGTGTGTGAGTGGATGTGAGTGAGGTCTTGAACATGATTTGTGTGTGAGTGAGTGAGGTCTGGAACATGATTTGTGAGTGTGTGAATGGATGTGAGTGAGTGAGGTCTGGAACATGATTTGTGAGTGTGTGAGTGGGTGTGAGTGAGTGAGGTCTGGAACATGATTTGTGAGTGAGTGAGTGAGGTCTGGAACATGATTTGTGAGTGTGTGAGTGAGTGAGTGAGGTCTGGAACATGATTTGTGAGTGTGTGAGTGGGTGTGAGTGAGTGAGGTCTGGAACATGATTTGTGAGTGAGTGAGTGAGGTCTGGAACATGATTTGTGAGTGTGTGAGTGGGTGTGAGTGAGTGAGGTCTGGAACATGATTTGTGAGTGTGTGAGTGGGTGTGAGTGAGTGAGGTCTGGAACATGATTTGTGAGTGAGTGAGTGAGATCTGGAACATGATTTGTGAGTGTGTGAGTGGATGTGAGTGAGTGAGTGAGGTCTGGAACATGATTTGTGAGTGAGTGAGTGGATGTGAGTGAGTGAGTGAGATCTGGAACATGATTTGTGAGTGTGTGAGTGGGTGTGAGTGAGTGAGGTCTGGAACATGATTTGTGAGTGAGTGAGTGGGTGTGAGTGAGTGAGGTCTGGAACATGATTTGTGAGTGAGTGAGTGAGATCTGGAACATGATTTGTGAGTGTGTGAGTGGGTGTGAGTGAGTGAGGTCTGGAACATGATTTGTGAGTGTGTGAGTGGATGTGAGTGAGTGAGGTCTGGAACATGATTTGTGAGTGTGTGAGTGGATGTGAGTGAGTGAGGTCTGGAACATGATTTGTGAGTGAGTGAGTGAGATCTGGAACATGATTTGTGAGTGTGTGAGTGGGTGTGAGTGAGTGAGGTCTGGAACATGATTTGTGAGTGTGTGTGAGAGTGTGTGAGTGGATGTGAGTGAGTGAGGTCTGGAACATGATTTGTGAGTGTGTGTGAGAGTGTGTGAGTGGATGTGAGTGAGTGAGGTCTGGAACATGATTTGTGAGTGTGTGTGAGTGGGTATGAGTGAGTGAGGTCTGGAACATGATTTGTGAGTGAGTGAGTGAGGTCTGGAACATGATTTGTGAGTGTGTGAGTGGGTGTGAGTGAGTGAGGTCTGGAACATGATTTGTGAGTGAGTGAGTGAGGTCTGGAACATGATTTGTGAGTGTGTGAGTGGGTGTGAGTGAGGTCTTGAACATGATTTGTGAGTGAGTGAGTGAGATCTGGAACATGATTTGTGAGTGTGTGAGTGGGTGTGAGTGAGTGAGGTCTGGAACATGATTTGTGAGTGAGTGAGTGAGTGGGTGTGAGGGAGGTCTGGAACATGATTTGTGAGTGTGTGTGAGTGTGTGTGAGTGAGTGAGGTCTGGAACATGATTTGTGAGTGTGTGTGAGTGTGTGTGAGTGAGTGAGGTCTGGAACATGATTTGTGAGTGGATGTGAGTGAGTGAGGTCTGGAACATGATTTGTGAGTGTGTTAGTGGGCGTGAGTGAGTGAGGTCTGGAACATGATTTGTGAGTGGGTGTGTGAGGTCTGGAACATGATTTGTGAGTGTGTGAGTGGATGTGAGTGAGTGAGGTCTGGAACATGATTTGTGAGTGTATGAGTGGGCGTGAGTGAGTGAGGTCTGGAACATGATTTGTGAGTGAGTGAGTGAGTGGGTGTGAGGGAGGTCTGGAACATGATTTGTGAGTGAGTGAGTGAGTGAGTGAGTGAGTGAGTGAGTGAGTGAGTGAGTGAGTGAGTGAGTGAGTGAGTGAGTGAGTGAGTGAGTGAGTGGGTGGGTCTTGGTGAATGAGTGAGAGTGCAATCTGGAACATGATGTGTGAGAGTGAGTTGGTCTTCAGGTGCCAAAAATGGGTTTCCCCCATTGTACCCATGTGGGGAACTGAACCCCGGCATTCAGTGTGATGAGCAAACACTTTAACCACCAGGCTACCTCACTGCCCCTAATGAACTGTGGTATAAAACATCAACGGGGAACCGTTAGCAATTCAATCAAATATATACACACAAACATCAAACCATATCTAACGTCTGTATGTTAGATGGAAGGAAGGCATGACATTGCTGTTGTAATGGATAGGAATGCTTTCCACATTAAGGCTATAATAGATGCTAGTTTATGTCAGTTTAGATAGATTTCAATCCCTCCATCCTCACTACCAACCCTCCTGACTCACATCATCTTATTAGCCCCATGTCCTTACACCAATACTTAACAGGTTTTGTAAACACCACTTCCCTCAAACACCAATGAACAATACCCCCGATTTGCAATGTTGTCGCTGTTCTTAACCAACAAATCAAGACAGCCTGGTGGCAGCGAGTACAACAAATCAAGACAGCCTGGTTGCAGTGAGCACAACAAATCAAGACAGCCTGGTTGCAGCGAGTACAACAAATCAAGACAGCCTGGTTGCAGTGAGCACAACAAATCAAGACAGCCTGGTTGCAGCGAGCACAACAAATCAAACCAGCCTGGTCTCAGTGAGTACAACAAATCAAGACACAGTCTGGTTGCAGTGAGTACAACAAATCAAGACACAGTCTGGTTGCAGTGAGTACAACAAATCAAGACACAGTCTGGTTGCAGTGAGCACAACAAATCAAGACATCCTGGTCTCAGTGAGTACAACAAATCAAGACAGCCTGGTTGCAGCGAGCACAACAAATCAAGACAGCCTGGTTGCAGTGAGCACAACAAATCAAATCAGCCTGGTCTCAGTGAGTACAACAAATCAAGACATCCTGGTCTCAGTGAGTACAACAAATCAAGACAGCCTGGTTGCAGTGAGTACAACAAATCAAGACAGCCTGGTTGCAGCGAGCACAACAAATCAAGACAGCCTGGTTGCAGTGAGTACAACAAATCAAGACAGCCTGGTGGCAGCGAGTACAACAAATCAAGACAGCCTGGTTGCAGTGAGTTCAACAAATCAAGACACAGTCTGGTTGCAGCGAGCACAACAAATCAAGACAGCCTGGTGGCAGTGAGTACAACAAATCAAGACAGCCTGTTTGCAGTGAGTACAACAAATCAAGACAGCCTGGTTGCAATGAGTACAACAAATCAAGACAGCCTGGTCGCAGCGAGTACAACAAATCAAGACAGCCTGGTTGCAGTGAGTACAACAAATCAAGACAGCCTGGTGGCAGCGAGTACAACAAAGCAGGACAGCCTGGTTGCAGCGAGTACAACAAATCAAGACAGCCTGGTTGCAGCGAGCACAACAAATCAAGACAGCCTGGTTGCAGTGAGTACAACAAATCAAGAGAGCCTGGGTGCAGTGAGTTCAACAAATCAAGACATCCTGGTCTCAGTGAGTACAACAAATCAAGACACAGTCTGGTTGCAGCGAGCACAACAAATCAAGACACAGTCTGGTTGCAGTGAGTACAACAAATCAAGACAGCCTGGTTGCAGTGAGCACAACAAATCAAGACAGCCTGGTTGCAGCGAGCACAACAAATCAAATCAGCCTGGTCTCAGTGAGTACAACAAATCAAGGCAGCCTGGTTGCAGTGAGTACAACAAATCAAGACAGCCTGGTCGCAGCGAGTACAACAAATCAAGACAGCCTGGTCTCAGTGAGTACAACAAATCAAGACACAGTCTGGTTGCAGTGAGTACAACAAATCAAGACACAGTCTGGTTGCAGTGAGCACAACAAATCAAGACATCCTGGTCTCAGTGAGTACAATAAATCAAGACAGCCTGGTTGCAGTGAGTACAACAAATCAAGACAGCGTGGTTGCAGTGAGTACAACAAATCAAGACACAGTCTGGTTGCAGTGAGCACAACAAATCAAGACATCCTGGTCTCAGTGAGTACAATAAATCAAGACAGCCTGGTTGCAGTGAGTACAACAAATCAAGACAGCGTGGTTGCAGCGAGCACAACAAATCAAGACAGCCTGGTGGCAGCGAGTACAACAAATCAAGACAGCCTGGTTGCAGTGAGTTCAACAAATCAAGACACAGTCTGGTTGCAGCGAGCACAACAAATCAAGACAGCCTGGTCTCAGTGAGTACAACAAATCAAGACAGCCTGGTTGCAGTGAGTTCAAAAAATCAAGACATCCTGGTCTCAGTGAGTACAACAAATCAAGACACAGTCTGGTTGCAGCGAGCACAACAAATCAAGACAAAGTCTTGTTGCAGCAAGTACAACAAAGCAGGACAGCCTGGTCGCAGCGAGTACAACAAATCAAGACAGCCTGGTTGCAGTGAGTACAACAAATCAAATCAGCCTGGTGGCAGTGAGTACAACAAATCAAGACAGCCTGGTTGCAGTGAGTACAACAAATCAAGACAGCCTGGTTGCAGCGAGCACAACAAATCAAGACAGCCTGGTTGCAGTGAGTACAACAAATCAAGACAGCCTGGTTGCAGTGAGTACAACAAATCAAGACAGCCTGGTTGCAATGAGTACAACAAATCAAGACAGCCTGGTCGCAGCGAGTACAACAAATCAAGACAGTCTGGTTGCAGCGAGCACAACAAATCAAGACAGCCTGGTGGCAGCGAGTACAACAAAGCAGGACAGCCTGGTTGCAGCGAGTACAACAAATCAAGACAGCCTGGTTGCAGCGAGTACAACAAATCAAGACAGCCTGGTTGCAGCGAGCACAACGAATCAAGACAGCCTGGTTGCAGCGAGCACAACAAATCAAGACAGCCTGGTGGCAGCGAGTACAACAAATCAAGACAGCCTGGTTGCAGTGAGTTCAACAAATCAAGACACAGTCTGGTTGCAGCGAGCACAACAAATCAAGACAGCCTGGTCTCAGTGAGTACAACAAATCAAGACAGCCTGGTTGCAGTGAGTTCAAAAAATCAAGACATCCTGGTCTCAGTGAGTACAACAAATCAAGACACCGTCTGGTTGCAGCGAGCACAACAAATCAAGACAAAGTCTTGTTGCAGCAAGTACAACAAAGCAGGACAGCCTGGTCGCAGCGAGTACAACAAATCAAGACAGCCTGGTTGCAGCGAGTACAACAAATCAAGACAGCCTGGTTGCAGCGAGCACAACAAATCAAGACAGCCTGGTTGCAGCGAGCACAACAAATCAAGACAGCCTGGTTGCAGTGAGTACAACAAATCAAGACAGCCTGGTTGCAGTGAGTTCAACAAATCAAGACATCCTGGTCTCAGTGAGTACAACAAATCAAGACACAGTCTGGTTGCAGCGAGCACAACAAATCAAGACAAAGTCTTGTTGCAGCAAGCACAACAAATCAAGACAGCCTGGTCTCAGTGAGTACAACAAATCAAGACAAAGTCTTGTTGCAGCGAGCACAACAAATCAAGACACAGCGTGGTTGCAGCGAGCACAACAAATCAAGACAAAGTCTTGTTGCAGCAAGTACAACAAAGCAGGACAGCCTGGTCGCAGCGAGTACAACAAATCAAGACAGCCTGGTTGCAGCGAGTACAACAAATCAAGACAGCCTGGTTGCAGCGAGCACAACAAATCAAATCAGCCTGGTGGCAGTGAGTACAACAAATCAAGACAGCCTGGTTGCAGTGAGTACAACAAATCAAGACAGCCTGGTTGCAGCGAGCACAACAAATCAAGACAGCCTGGTTGCAGTGAGTACAACAAATCAAGACAGCCTGGTTGCAGTGAGTACAACAAATCAAGACAGCCTGGTTGCAGTGAGTACAACAAATTAAGACAGCCTGGTTGCAGCGAGCACAACAAATCAAGACAGCCTGGTGGCAGCGAGTACAACAAAGCAGGACAGCCTGGTTGCAGCGAGTACAACAAATCAAGACAGCCTGGTTGCAGCGAGTACAACAAATCAAGACAGCCTGGTTGCAGCGAGCACAACAAATCAAGACAGCCTGGTTGCAGTGAGTACAACAAATCAAGACAGCCTGGTTGCAGTGAGTTCAACAAATCAAGACATCCTGGTCTCAGTGAGTACAACAAATCAAGACACAGTCTGGTTGCAGCGAGCACAACAAATCAAGACAAAGTCTTGTTGCAGCAAGCACAACAAATCAAGACAGCCTGGTCTCAGTGAGTACAACAAATCAAGACAAAGTCTTGTTGCAGCGAGCACAACAAATCAAGACACAGCGTGGTTGCAGCGAGTACAACAAATCAAGACACAGCGTGGTTGCAGCAAGTACTCGGACCAATCAACGATATTTCTTGCGCAACATGTGCCACAGCCTTGCATCAATGGTAGTGTTCACACGAGTCATACATGTCAGCAACCATTTTGGTAGCCAATCAGCTTTCAAAATAGACATCGGCCCGTAGGCCCCAGGCCGACAGATTTGTTTTCAGGCTGATGGTTTATAATTTCAGCAGACCCTTATGACCTGCAGTTTATTTTAAGCTGTAAACATGGTAAATGAATCCTAACACTGAGAGTTAGACTGCGTTGTGAAAACAGGTCTAGCTTCAAAGTACTCTGCTTGTTAACTCTTTCAACACCGCAGGTCAGTGTACTGGCCAAACTGTAGCCACGTCAAAATAATGTATCTTAGTACAATCTAAATACTTTTGACATTTTTATACATACCCTGCATTACTTCTTAATGCATTTACTGCTTTTTTTTACAGAAAATGTAAGTGGGATATGATGACATGCATCAACCAAGTCACCGAGTCTGACCCCCCCGATCCTGTTAGTTGCCTCTTACATGTCAGGTTGCTGAAGATCAATTCTAACTCGGACCTTCACAGATCAATGTTTACAGATGCCTCCAACGTGATGCACAGATAGTTTAGAATCAAGTCTAACACCTCCATATTGGTCCCACTTCACATGTTCACATAAATATATTGGATGAAAATTGGATAATTAACTTATTGAGGCCCAAACACTTCACTGATACCTATGCAGACACTCTGGGTGGCTCTTGAAAATTTTCCAACGGCTAGAATAATCTTTCACCTTCATTTCATGGTCAACTATGTCAATTAAACTAAACTGAATTACTAGCTCTGTGAACAATCTATCATAAAAAATTCTCCACAAACACTTACACAAATACAAGCTATGTGATCAAACTATTTGAAATATATTTCACGTTAGGCCACACTATCAACCAGAGTCTTCCAAACCGATCCATTAATTTGCTCTTACAACCAGCATAGGTTGTTGGGAACCAACTGTAACCAGCAAGGGTCCACCACAAAGTACCTGGAACATCTTCTCCCCGTTACTGTTGGTCTTGGTGGACTTGGCTTTGTCACCACCAGCCTTCTTGTCCTCACCAGCCTTCTTGTCCTCCCTCTTCTCGGCCTTGTCAGACTTCTTCTCCGGCTTGGCCTCAGTCTTCTTCTTTTTCTGCTTAGGTTCCTGGGAGACAAAATCGTCATCACTAATTTGTTTGCCAACTCATTATACTTAAAACTTTCCAGCAATAGGTTTTTGGTAACAAGCTCAATCTAGATTCTGAGTAGAAATCCTCAGATAGAATACCAAACTATTTAGAAAAAGTGAAAGCACAAGATACATAGGATTTTATTGACATTTGCTTCACATCAAGTTAAAGACCACATCCTTACAACCGGTATCACTGGTTTCCCACACTAACAACATAGAAAATGTATGTTTTCGACAGTGATTGACAGATTTAACAAGTACTAGTTAAGACAAGAAAACATTGATGCAGAGCATCAAAGTTCCCCGCCATATGTGATGCCTCACAAACGCATAATTATGATGTTACTGAAAGGCATGAGGGAGTATAATTATATTAACCACAAATAACACAACGCTGTTGTGGAAAAAATATTATTTATTTTGAGTATTGGGCAATACAGTTGATACATGTGCATAGGGTAGGTCTATTTAAAAATATTTTCTTGTTTAACGCCGCACTCAGCAGTATTCCAGCCATATGACGGCGGTCTGTAAATAATCCAGTCTGGACCAGATCATCCAGTGATTGACACCAAGAGCATCGAACTACACAATTGGAATATGATGTTATGCATCAACCAAATCGGCGAGCCTGACTACCCAATCCTGGTCGTCGCCTCTTACGGCAAGCATAGGTTGCTGAAGTCCTATTCTTACCTGGGTCTTTATTTAAAAAGTTGATCGAAGGAAATGGAAGTAATTTCTGGCACAAATGTAAACATGTGGAAATAGTATCAAAACTGCCAACAACATTGGCAGATAAATAATAGATCACATTCTTTTTACACTTGGCATTTGGTTATAATAATGTAAATGAAAATACTAAGGGCTCCATATGGCAAAAAAAGTCATACTAGATAAGGTCTTTTTGTCACAACCACAGATGCACATACTCAAAATATTATCAGGTAGTTTGAGAACATTTCAATACCGGGACTAATCAATAATGGATATTCCTCGTCTCTTGTTTTACGTTTTTTGGTCAGTTTCTTTTTTGTATTTCTTTCTTTCAAAGAATAGTAACTGTGATCATGATGAGTTGAGTTTCTTGGGTTTTTTTCTATGTACTGTTTTTTATCCAGTGTCAGTAACTGTTGTGGAATGTGGTTTACTTGTAACAATGACTGGTTTGAGTTCATATGATGATGATTGATTGGTTTGTCGTTTAACGCCGCACTCATCAATATCCCAGCTATATGACGGCGTTCTGTAAATAATCGAGTCTGGACCAGACAATCCAGTGCCTAATATCATGAGCATCGATCCACGCAATTGGGATCGATGCCATGCATCAACGAAAGCCTGACTATCCGATCCCGTTTGTTATGACAAGCATAGTCGCCTGATATACTGTTAAGATGTAACATAACAATTCATCCATACTACTAAACAGAAGTAAAACCGCTTGTCCATTCGGATCAATCTGACCCAAACCATTCCTCTGATGAGAGTCAAATAATGCATACGAATCGAAATCCGTAAAAATTGCAATGGAGACATCATTAAAAGTTACCAAAAGTGATGGGGATATCAATATTGCTTGTTGAAAAGATTCTATGAAATTTGTTTTCCCTGCTTCAATATTTGGAGCACCTGTGACGGAGCCATAAAACTGATCTGTTATGTAGATAATATCGCTTGAGGCAGTGGCTGCTGGGAGCTGATTATGACCTAAATACCCCTCATAGCCTTCGGTGTTAACTATGTGACTGTAGAGAGCTGTGCCTTCATCCAACAGATTATCGAGGTCAGTGGAACACGGTACAGACGCAAATAGATTTGAGCCATGGGACACAAAATATATGAGTGACCAGAGCTACGGCTGTACATTGAATTCCATTAAACGGTTGAAAAATACTCGGCCTTGATGCAAATTCACTACTCCGCTTTTGCTTTGACTTTGCTACCAAACGTTTCACATGTGGCTATGTGGGGTGCGGTGCACTGATTAAAAAAAACACGGGGGACTGGGTTAATTCAAAATACGAAATATAACTATTCCAAATATTTCCAGTGAACATGAGCATCCAAACAATCAAAAGTGTGGTATGTAGAATATGGAATTCAGCCATATTACATTTAAATTGAGATGTCGTCGTAGTTCATGAATAAGCATATTCAGAACATAGTTTTTATTATGCTGTTATTTACGATCTCCGGAGCACAGTTCTTCTTTTGTATACACCGTGAAAAACAGAAAATTAGTCCTTGAGCAAAAAAGGAGATCGGATTACACATGAATGGTTTAATAATGTCAGCTAATGACTAGAAACGGTCAGATGCATCAATTAACTACATAAAGACGATTTTGAAGTATATCTTATTGCTGGAAAAGAATAGCATCAACATTCCACGCACATGATTTGTATGTTTTGTTTCCGTAAATGCGTGGCTTGAAATTTCAAATAAACCAACATGTCGACATACATGCCACAAAATTAATGTTTCCCGTATACTTCCCCGCCTTAAGGGCGGGGAAGAATAAACATGATAAAGGATAAGCTTGTACGTGAGAAACAAGCACAACCGCAGATGTTGAAAAATTGTAGACAAACTTCATCTCAATAGAAAACAGACAGTTTTCGTTGTTGTGTTTTTGTTTATTGTTTAACACTGCACTCAGCAATATTCCAGCTATATGACGGCAGTCTGTAAATAATCAAGTCTGGACCAGACAGTCCATTGATTGACATCATGAGCATCGATCTATGCAAACGAGACACAATGACATCTTCAACCAAGTTCGTCGTGAGCCTGATCACCCGATCCCATTAGTCACCTCAAGCATAGTCGCCTTTTATGGCAAGCATGGGTTGCTGAAGGCCTATTCTAACCTAGATCTTCACAGGTAAAACAGACAGTAAACAATGTTAGAAGTAGGACCTGTCTGTGCGAGACTGGTAACCTTCCAACAAGACTGGTAATTTTTTCAGGGGTGAGTGAGTGAGTTGACTTCAACACCACTTTGAAAATTTTTACAAGGCATGTCAATAATGGGGGAGGAAAATTCAAAGTGACACAAGTTGATTATATGTATGTTTTTAGTAAAACCCTTCAGGAGGTATACAGATTAAGGATCATTTTCGGGGCAAATCAGGGACTCTATTATAAGCAGATCCTGGCACAGCAAGGGATGCAACTCTGCATGAAAAGCCTTAGACGCCTGGGCCACAGGGGGACAGTCAGTTATTTTCCATATAGGTTTATCTATATGGCTACCATGGTGGCCTCTACTGCAAATCAGATGCAATCCTCTTAAGAGGTGGGTTGTCATCATCGGTGGGAACAGGTATGTAAAGTTTCAGTTTCAATGGTCCAGTGGTTTCTGAAGAGAAGATGTGTATGATGCACAAAAGATGAAGAGCAAACCAGCCATGACATAAGCTCACTTGACTTTCAGTCCAAGATTATTGCACTTATATAGCGACGTGCATGTACGTGTGTGTGTTTGTGAGGCTGCTTGTACTAGTCCGGACTGATGGCGATTTATAGTGCTAGCTCACTGAGATACCATGCTGCAGTTTAACATGAATACCCCACTCAGACACAGTATACTGACTCCGAGCCGACAAGTCCTTGTTTTAGCCCCTTAATGCCGAGCGCCAGACTAGGTAACAACAAGTACCATCTTTTAACATCTTTTGGTATGACGCAGCCGGGGATCGAACCCCGGACCTTCCGCTCTTCGGGCGGACGCTCTACCACTAGACCACGGAGGTGGTCGATGAGCAAAAGAATTCAATTGATCGCAATTTAGTATACAGTTTTTAGTTCCCAACTATTCAGTAAACCTTCAATCTGTTGCCAACACATACCTCTGCGTCAGAACCAGAGTCTTCTGAAGAGGACAGAAATTCCTTTGATTTCGGCATCTTCAGCAAATATCTGTAAGAAATATGGTGAATACAAAAAAATTATAACAAAACTTTGCCAATACTGCAAAAATATCCTGCAAGAAATCTTCTCAGAAGTGCTGCACTTTAATGAGTTGATCTTTTAGGAGCCTAATTAGCACTGCTGGGGCAGAAGAGCGTCAAGCTCGGCAACCCCTTAGCACAGACAATATGACACGTAACCAGTGCTCGTATACCTAGTGATCACCACCCAATTAACACATGTAGCGGCCATAACATTTCCGAGTCCCATGATGGAATTCGAACCAAGATCTTCTGATCTGAGGTCAGACGCCTTGTCAACATGACCAAAGAGGTTAACCCCATCAGCAAGCTGACAAGGTAAGGATATCATCTGTGGGATGACTCCACCCCCTGCTACATACCCCCCGTCAACAGAAGGCACGTCCCAGACCGCATAGTTGGGAACTGAGGCTTATTTTGCTCAAATTTAATATGAACGTGCTCAGCCCCACGTTGGGCGCCAATGTAGCGGCAATAAAATTTCCGAGTCCTGTGATGGGATTCGAACCACAGACCTCCTGATCAGACACCTTGTCCACATGACCAAAGAGGTTAACCCCATCAGCAAGCTGACAAGGTAAGAGTGTCATCTGTGGGATGACTCCACACCCTGCTACACACACATTCACAGTCTACAACCTCAGACACTTGTCCGAAACCAAGGTCCAGTACAATTTCTTGGGTCTAGTAAACTTGGCAAATAAAAGTCCATACATTAGCAGTAACATCTACTGAAAATGATGTCAAGTGACAAGTTTGGGCCAGTAGAATATAAAGTAAACGATAGTATAGGAAACTAATTTCTCCACCCCCCCCCCCCCCCTCAACTCAGAAAATCTCAAGACAGAAAATAATATGGATTTACCTCAGATTATATAGGATTAGCTCTTTAAACATTCATTAAAAGATTAAAAAAATCCTAACTCACAACTAACCTTTCGGATCCAAGTGTCAAGGATAGTTGGAGGTAACCTACCTACCCTTACCCTAACACAAACTGAAACGCTAGTAGCAGGATTGAAGAATCATGCAAGATACGTGGATCATCAGCCATACTAGAGCCACGTAGTGCTACATCGCCGAGCACAACTGAACCGCAGTCTTGCTCATGCTATCCCTCAACCCAAAATGTGTCTCATCCAAGAGGCCATAAACTGTCCTGTTTGAAAATGTCAACAATGAGCAGCAATGGGGAAAACACGCTCGCTCAGCTATTGGGGGTGCTTCATTTTCTTGAACGCCCTGGTCTCACAGAATTGACATTTACTCGTTTTACATCTTACTCATACATACAATCTCACATACATTACATGACTACCGCGTTTACCAATAGAAACGGTCCTGTCTATCAGCTTGTGTATTTGTCAACATTGGTCTGGAGAACCGTACACAATAGCATTGTCAGAACTGCAAAGACAAGTGATATCAGTGAGGTCAATTAGCGACATGACATCAGTTGCACCGAGAGTCATCTGTCCCCTTGTGATTGTTGTAACTTACATGACACAAATGACAAGTCTTATATTCTAGCAGCAGTATGAGTCTCTCAGCATGTCATTTACCCGCCATTCGAAAACGGAAACGGAAACGTAAGGTGCTCTAAATATTAAATCCTATTTTCCATATGACTAATAGTATATCCATGGCATCTCGCGTCCTCACATGGTAGGTTAGCCTTTCCAAATATACATAGTGATAAAGTACTCTAGATTTTCAAAATATTAGGAACAAAATAACACCCAACACCCTAACCGAAAAAAACATACACAACTGTTTTATTTCTCTTGTTCACGTGTCCTTATGGAACTTATAAGTATGGCATAAAACAAAATGGAATGACGCACAGCTAGCTAATTTGCAGTTGCCCCCCCTGGATTTTTTTATAGAAAACATTTTAAACAAATTAACTACGGCCTTGTCTATGTTTATATTTCACGGGAAAATCTATGGAGGTGTCGCTATGTCGTTTTAAATATGGAGAATATGATTTAATCGTAGTGAGTGAGTGCCGCTTTTAGCAACATTTCAGCAATATCACGGCGGCAGACACCAGAAATGGGCTTCACACATTGGAATCGAACCCGGGTCTTCGATTATTTATCGACGGCCATCACATAGAAGGAATACTGCTGAGAGCGGCGTTAAACAACAGTAACATAAAGTAAGACGAGTTCTATGGATGAACAACTTCTTTATTACAATTAGTGCGACGTTTCGGTGTAGATCCTAACACATTTATCAAGCAAGTGATGGATAGTGCTAAGCAACATAGGTATTACTATATATAATTATTAACATCAAAGGTAGAGATGATGGAATCCAGTGGATTAATTGGATGGACATAGGATTTAGCAATTAGGTGTCCATCCAATTAATCCACTGGCTGCCATCATCTCTATCAGTCTGCTTGTTGACTCTGTGTTCATTAGTCATCCACTGGCTTCCAATTATCTTAATCAGCTCTCTGTGTCCATCAATCAATTTACTGTATAAACTTTGATGTTAATAAGTATATATACCTATGTTGTTTAGCACCTCCTACACCTCGACATGGTATGGCACGATGGGCTAATACAAAAACTTTAAAAAATAGGACTCAAAGGTCAGATAATAAACTACATCCAGGACTTCCTAAACAATCGTAAAATAACCGTGGGTATAGACCAAACTCTATCGGACCAATGTCCACTAGAAAATGGTACTCCACAGGGCAGTATCCTCAGCCCCACCCTCTTCAATATAATGATAAACGATCTATTCGAGGGCCTATCCCCTAAAGTAAACACATCAAAATTCGCGGATGATGGAGCCATCTGGATCCGCACTAAAAGCATGAACATGGTCCAAAATCTACTCCAAAAATCTCTTAATAAAATACAACAATGAGCTGACAAATGGGGCTTCTCCCTTAACTCAGAAAAAACAACAGGAATAGTATTCAAACATAAAAACATAAACCCGCCTCCCCAATCCTCCAGCTAAACAATCAAACAATCAAATTTCAAAAACAAACCAAATTCTTCGGACTTATTTTCGATGAACATCTCACCTGGGATGCTCACATCCAAAACCTAACAACTACATGCAGTAAAGACCTAAACACCCTAAGATGCCTAACTGGCTCTAACTGGGGAGCATCCAAAGATACCCTCCTCTCGCTCTACATATCACTAATTAGATCAAAACTAGACTACGGCTGCGCCATATACAACACCCTAAACAACTCTCTATCTAAAAAACTTGACTCAATACAATATCAGGCTCTCAAACTAATTACACGCACCCAACATGGCACCTCCTACACCTCACTTCAGGCTTTAACAGGAGAAATGCCACTAAGTCTACGCAGGGAACAGCTAAGCTTAAATTTCTGGGCCGCGTCCCAATCAAACCCTCTCATCCAAAACTTAATAAACCAAAACATCAGCCCCAAAAACCAAGCTCTAGCTGGTAAACACCCCTTACTTACCCCAATATCCCAAAGAATAACAAACTACCTAAATGAACACCAAATTAAAAATCTTAAACAAAACTGCAAACAATCAAATATCTTCACCCCTAAACTTAAAATACCCAAAATAGACACAACACTAGCTAGCCAAATAAATAAACAAACCGACCCAAACATAGCTAAAACTACCACACTAGCATACATACACGAAAATTGGCCAAATTGGTGTCACATTTACACGGACGGATCCTCAGATCCGACCTCCAAACACACAGGTTTCGGAGTCCATACCACACAACCAACTAAAACCACACGATCCTTCCGACTCCCAAACAACCAATCAATATTCACGGCAGAACTAATGGGCATGGCCTCAGCCCTCCATAATCAAGAATCCAAAAACCACAAAAAAAATCCTTATACTTACCGACTCCCTAAGTGGACTGCAAGCCCTCCAAAACAAAAATACCAAAAACCGACCTAAATTAATAAATCAAATACTTAAAAGCTCCAACGACCTAACTAAGGCAGGCAAACAAATAACCTTCTTGTGGATACCCGCCCACGTAGGAATATACGGTAACGAAAACTACGATAAAGCAGCTAAACTATCCCTCAAAATCCCAGAAATAACCTTAAACTTACCCATCTCAAAATCAGAAATTAAAGTGTAAACAAGCAAAAAATCACAAAAATGGCATAACCTATATCTAAACTCAAATAGCAAAATCAAAAAAGTGCTCAGCAAACCACTAACCAAACCAAAAATTCTCCATCCATCAAAAAAAATCGACAGAGTAATCACTAAACTCCAAACAGGACACACCAACCTAAATAACCACCTAAAAAAAATAAAAAAACACACTACAGGTAACTGCCCACACTGCAAACAACCAGAAACCCCAGAACACGCACTCATCCACTGCACACACTACCTAACACATCGAACCGCATTACAAACCACCCTCAATCTAAACAAGGCTATCACTCTAGAAGCAATACTAAACCCACAAAATAAACTAGAAAACTTCAAGGCCTTAGGCGTATTCTTAATAAAAACGGAACTAATAAAACGCATCTAAAAACACAATAACCTACCAAATCAAAATCACATAAACAAACAAACATCCACCATACCCAGCTTCCTTAGTTCTCCTCCCCAATCCCATCGGCATCTATTCCAAATCTCAAAATTCCCAAATTCTATATGAGCAACCCCTAAAACCCCCCTCTTGGGTTGCACAGACCACCTTCGCCCCTTTCGAAAACACATTAAATGGCCTGGCCGGGCCCGTGTGCGAAATACGCATCAGTCGGAAAGCGCACGTTAAATCTCCAAAGTAAGTAAGTAAGTAAGCTCCTCCTACACCTCACTTCAGGCCTTAACAGGAGAAATGCCACTAAGTCTACGCTAAGCTTAAATTTCTGGGCCGCGTCCCAATCAAACCCTCTCATCCAAAACTTAATAAACCAAAACATCAGCCCCAAAAACCAAGCTCTAGCTGGTAAACACCCCTTACTTACCCCAATATCCCAAAGAATAACAAACTACCTAAATGAACACCAAATTAAAATTCTTAAACAAAACTGCAAACAATCAAATATCTTCACCCCTAAACTTAAAATACCCAAAATAGACACAACACTAGCTGGCAAAATAAATAAACAAATCGACCCAAACATAGCTAAAACTACCACACTAGCATACATACACGAAAATTGGCCAAATTGGTGTCACATTTACACGGACGGATCCTCAGATCCGACCTCCAAACACACAGGTTTCGGAGTCCATACCACACAACCAACTAAAACCACACAATCCTTCCGACTCCCAAACAACCAATCAATATTCACGGCAGAACTAATGGGCATGGCCTCAGCCCTCCATAATCAAGAATCCAAAAACCACAAAATAAATCCTTATACTTACCGACTCCCTAAGTGGACTGCAAGCCCTCCAAAACAAAAATACCAAAAACCGACCTAAATTAATAAATCAAATACTTAAAAGCTCCAACGACCTAACTAAGGCAGGCAAACAAATAACCTTCTTGTGGATACCCGCCCACGTAGGAATATACGGTAACGAAAACTACGATAAAGCAGCTAAACTATCCCTCAAAATCCCAGAAATAACCTTAAACTTACCCATCTCAAAATCAGAAATTAAAGTGTAAACAAGCAAAAAATCACAAAAATGGCATAACCTATATCTAAACTCAAATAGCAAAATCAAAAAAGTGCTCAGCAAACCACTAACCAAACCAAAAATTCTCCATCCATCAAAAAAAATCGACAGAGTAATCACTAAACTCCAAACAGGACACACCAACCTAAATAACCACCTAAAAAAATTAAAAAAACACACTACAGGTAACTGCCCACACTGCAAACAACCAGAAACCCCAGAACACGCACTCATCCACTGCACACACTACCTAACACATCGAACCGCATTACAAACCACCCTCAATCTAAACAAGGCTCTCACTCTAGAAGCAATACTAAACCCACAAAATAAACTAGAAAACTTCAAGGCCTTAGGCGTATTCTTAATAAAAACGGAACTAATAAAACGCAATTAAAAACACAATAACCTACCAAATCAAAATCACATAAACAAACATCCACCATACCCAACTCCCTTATTTCTCCTCCCCAACCCCATCGGCATCTATTCCAAATCTCAAAATTCCCAAATTCTATATAAGCAACCCCTAAACCCCCCTCTTGGGTTGCACAGACCACTTTCGCCCCTTTCGGAAACACATTAAATGGCCTGGCCGGGCCCGTGTGCGAAATACGCATCAGTCGGAAAGCGCACGTTAAATCTCCAAAGTAAGTAAGTAAGTAAGCACTAAATAAAAACACCAAAAACCGTCCCAAACTTATAAACCAAATACTAAAAAGCGCAAACAACTTAACTGAGGCAGGCAAACAAATAGTATTCATCTGGATCCCCGCCCACGTAGGAATATACAGCAGCGAAAACGCCGATAAAGCTGCTAAACAATCCCTCAAAATCTCTGAAATAAGCTTAAATCTACCCATATCAAAATCAGAAATCAAAAGTATCAACAAACGAAAAATCAATAAAAAATTGCATAGCCTCTATGTAAAATCAAATAGCCAAATTAAAAAGGTTCTAAAAA